AATACCATGTATCTCTTGGTGTAACTCATTACACACAACCAAAATCACAGAGACGACTGCTGACCTGACAGTTGTTCAGGAGATGACCATCAACCATAGAAGGTCATTGGTTTAAAGGCTGGCTGTTGGCAGACTGCTGTATAAAAGCACAGTGATGGAAAGTTGACTGGAAGGAAAACGTGTGGTAGAAAAAGGTGCACAAGCAACAGGGATGAGAGGATTGTCAAGAAATGTTGATTCAAGCACTTAAGAGAGCTTCACACAGAGTAGACTGAGGTTGGTGTCAGTCCATCAAGAGCCACCAAGCACAGACGTCTTCAGGAAAGGAGCTGTCACATTCTTAATATCAAGATACTCCTGGACCAGAGACATCAGAAGCATCTCACCTGAGCTGAAGAGACAAAGAACTGGACTGTGCTCATTGATTGTCATCTTTCTGGAGGAATGTAAATTTTGCATTTCATTTGGAAATCAAGGTCCTAGAGTGTGGAGGAAAAGTGGAGAGGCATAGAATCTGAGGTGTTTGAAGTCCAGTGTGATGTTTCTGCAGTCTGTGATGATTTGTGGTGTCATGTCATCTGCTGCTCGAGTTTCATCAAGTCTAAAGTCAACACAGCCATTTACCAAGAGATACTCGAGCACTTCATGCTTCCATTTGCTGGTTAATACTATCAGATGGTTTTCTGATCACCATAATTCATGGTAAAGGAGCCCTAACCAGGTATTGAATGCATAAATGAACAGAAAAAAAGTGTATAAATGAAAGCTAATATTAAATAATCTGAGATACTGGATTTCTGATTCTCATGAACTATAAGTTACGGTCATCAAAATTAAAACATGAATCTAGAATATATGAAAGCTTCCCTTTTTTCCACGAAGTTTTTGTTATTATTATTATTTCTATTTTTGGAGACTCACTAGTATGTTTAATGAAAAGTCAAGGATCTAAAAGTATTCATATTTGTTTTTTGGATACAAAAATATCTATAAAAATCTATATCATACTGACAGACCAACCAACCAGCACCTTCATTTTCAAGCTCTGCTGCAATCAGGGGGACACTAGCTCTTTCACCGCTGGTGTCTTTCTTCCTGTATTTTAAGAAAATAAAAAAAAATTTAAAATGTTTTAAGATACATTTTTCTAGTCTTTTTTTTTTTCTTTATTAGATAGGCACAGCTTAAGAGAGACAGAAAAGCAGAGCACAGACAAGAAATCGCATGTAGCAAAGCACCCAGGCTGGACACAAATCCAAGCTGCTGCTGCAGTCAGGACTCAGTCTTAGAACACAGTGTGTGTTCAACCAGGTGAACAGACAAGTGCTGCAAAAATCCTCTCACAGTCATCAGAGCACACTTTCACTACACAATCATTGTAGCCAAAACTAATCACAATATTACTGAATATATAGAAATTAAAAAAAAAAGAAAAAAGAAAAGAAAGAATGCTATCAGTCATATTCATCTTTAATTTTGTTTATTGTGTTTTACCTTTTTCTGACAGATAAATTACACTCAAAATATGAGTGTCAGGAGTGGAAGATTCCTTAACCATAACTGTTCTATAAGTTGTTTCTATGTTGGAATGTCAATCTGATCTTTAGTGGCACTGAATTATTTATATCCTCATATATGTACTATCAACATGATATCAATATTTCATTTTTGAAATATCACGCTTGTTGTCAATACCACTATATTCCAACACCCCAACTATTGCTTGAGCTAAATGAAAGTGCACATTTATGGTGAGTGTTGCCCTTATCGATGGGTTTTGTTTTCTTTGCCCCACGAGTTGCACGAATACAACTGTAAAATGCTTCTTCCAACTTTACCACCATGTGATGGATGGCACATCATGAGAAAACAGCCAAGACTCATGACAAACAGAATGACAGCACGGTGTGGCCATCAGGGATACTCATGGGTTATCATCAGTAACAAACCATCTCACCAGGCAGTTTGGCATCTGTCATGCTTTACAAAACAAACAAACAAAAAAAACATGCACAAGTTGGGAACTTCTTCACATGGAGGTACCAACAAAGAGCTTAGCTTAAAGACATTCATCAGGAATGCAACTGAATGAAAACGTGTTCAATGTTCACTGATGTGAGTAAAAGTCCCCATGTTCACAGAATGTAACTGTCATGAATAGTAGGTCCATACAGTCAACAAAATAAAATACTCATTCATTCAAGTTTTCATTTTCACCATATTCTCCTTGAAAAGCCACAAACATAAAAGTAAACCAAACACTTGAATAAGACAAACAGCTAAAAGGTTTGTAACATGGTTTGACAAATGATCCTAAAACAAGAAGCTGCCTTAATGATCAATAACTGAACATGGTCCCATGTAGGAGTAATACTCCACATTTGATGTATTTATAAGCTTATGTTGTGAAAACTCTGAATCAGACTTAGAGAACAGTCCACTGCATGTCTGAATGAAAAGACCTGCTCTACTTCCAAACGTACTACAGATAGTGACAACAGAAACTTAAAGTGTACACTGTTGTTGCTTGTAAAGCACTTTGAACTGCATTTGATTTGTTTAAGAAGTGCTACACACCATCAGCCACAACATTAAAACCACTAAGTGGTCAAGTGAACAACACTGATCATCCTGTCACAATGCAATTTTCTGCTTTGAACCCTCGGGTCCTGACCTTCATTTGGATGTTACTTTGACACGTACCAGCCACCTAAACACTGCTGCAGACCAAGCACATCCCCATTTCCACCGGCAGCTTCACCTAGCAGGACACTGTGCCCCACCACACCGCAAAAACTGCCCAGGAACGGCTTAAAAAACACAACAAAGAGCCCAAGCCGTTGATCTGCCCTCTAAACGCCCCAGAACCTAATCAAGCGTCTGCAGGATACACTGGAACAAACCAGATTCACAAAAGCCCCACCTGCATCCCACAGGACACCACCATAGACCCTCTGTCTAGACACCAATGGGTCAGAGCTGTTCTGGTGACATGAGGAGGACCTACACAGTTTTAATGTTGTGGCTGATCAGTGTATTAATTAAATTTTGATTGGCTTTCACAGTTTGTTTGCAAGTTGCAGTAGACAATAGTAGAGGAGACAGGACGGACTCTGAATACACAGATCATTACATCCTACGTATGCTTAAATCTTGAGCTCATTTTACAGCTGCATGTAAGTCAGTGTTGAAGTATCTTAAAATTCCATTTATCTAATCATCAAAAAATGTACAAACTCTTTAAATGTCACCTAAAAGTCTAAATGGCTTATTCCACCTTGTCTTATCTGTGCTTTTATGGCCAGTTTAAGTACTGTTTCATTGGGGGGATATTAAGGCTTAGTATGAAGCATGCTTTAAAGCCAGTTTGCTTGAACTGCGATGCTCTCTCATGCTATCATACTCGGCTGTGTTGGTTGGTGCTTGTTCAACACCGCTAACGGGGCGTCTGCACAGGAGGCATTTGAGCCAAGTCATCTGTCTCACGCACATCTGACGGAAGAGAGACTTCTCTTTTATACAGTACAGCATCTTTATGTACCTTGAGTGACTGTGTGTTGGTTTCAGTGTGCCTGAATGCATCCTGTGTAGACATAGATGGAGAATTGAAGCTGCTCACGCTGTACCTCCTGTGTAGACACAGTGTAAAAATGCATCACACCGTCTACATTTTTACTTTATGGCTATTTGACAAAGATGTTGGCGTAAATTAATCCTACTTTGGGCTTCAAAACATTCCTCAAAAAGCCAACCAACCATGGTATCTCTCCTTATTTTCCACCATCTTTAACATAATCTTTTGGAACCTAGCCCTGGTGGATAGTATGGATGGACTGTACCACTGGATGAAATGATGCAGGCTCCTGCCATTTGGTGAAAAGGTTGGTTACATCCACTCCATCCAGATTAGTGTTTAAGTGCTATGTTCACACTCCAGTTAATCCAAACACTGAGCTAACCAGTGCAAGAGACTACACACATATAACTGGAAGCACAGATTTCAGTGAATATATCATGTAGTCGATCTCCATGGGCATGTATGTTTTCATGCCAGAGGGTGGTCAAATATGTACATCTGCACATAAATCCTCCGGGTGCTGAGGGGAAATGGAGTGTGTGCAAATACAGTCTCTGGCACGGCAGCAGGGCTTCACTCTTCTCTCTTAAGTTAATGTACACGGGTTGTGCAGGTATTCCAGGAACATCTTTGTCTCTTCTGCTCTTCCTCTCAGTTTGTGTGTCCCAGATGAACCCTTTCACCTGCGTCCCTCCTCCTTTTAAAGAACCTGCTCAGTGCTGGAGGCCGAGATGTCCAGGAGTCTCCAGGCCGCGCTGGGGTTCAGCTCCTCCTGGTCACGACACAACGCCCAAACATACATCATCCTCATCACCTTCTCCTGTTGATGGAGGAGAAGAGCACAAGGTCAGTTCTGAAGACACAGCATGGAGACGGTGAAAGGGTCTTCTAAATGTGAGTTCAACAGCAGTAACTCTTTTATTTATTTTTTTGATGCGGCTTGTAATGAGGCTTTGTGATGTAACTTGCAATACAGACTAGATGAAGTAAGTTAATAAAATTGAGACATTTAATACTGTTAGCAGTTTAAATGCTTGTTTATTAGATTAGTCAAGGTCCTGTTGCTGTATCAAATTGTGAACTTCGAAGTTCAAAGACAGAGCAAAGGGAAATGTGTGGCAGACCTCTAACCTGATTTCAGCCATTTGACTTGTTTACTTCCTTAGAAGAACTTTGATTTTATCTATTAGATTCACTACTCTGGTCCAGTGATTATCAGTCGACTTACCGGATCTCCCTCCACAATATCTCCTTTGGGGCTGCGGATCACCATGACGACCTGAGCCTGGAAGGTGATAATCAGCACCGGGCCCTGGTCCATTATCTTGCCCATCGCTAGCTACGACACACAGACAGACAATGAACAAACAAATTAGCTGAAAAAGAACACATTTAACAAGTGTAATTGTTCTGCAGCAGCTTGATTTGTTAAATGGCAGGTAAAGAATAAATTCTGTTTTGTAAATTAAGTCAATGTTCGTTAAGAAAGAAAAAGTCAAGGAGGAGGAAAAAAATGACAATAGTTACAGATGCCACTTTGGAAATACACGAGGTATAACAGTGAGTGTATTATGGTCAGTGTGCATGCGTGAGAGTACTTACATCTATGTTGTCAATGTCAAGGATTTTAGACTGGAAGAGAAGCCCCAGAGCTCTGGCCTGCTGGATGGGATGGGCCAGCTGACTGTACGTCTGAAGGTAAGTACACAAAAAACACATTTAGCATGAAAAATTACACTTCCTACATACTGTATGCCGACTAAAGCAGACTGATGAGCATTTTAGGACTCTGTTTGTGTGGGTTTCCATTTTGAAAAAGGTGAGAATGCATATTTGTAAATACAGATAACTCCCCTAAAAACATCTACAATGTATTTATGAAAGGGGAACTTTAGTTATTCTGTCACCATAGATATGTGTGATGTAAGTTTTCTCGTCGGCCCAAGTCCACGAGGATGCTCATGGACGTTCTTGCACTTGTTCCAAAAAAAATGAGTGCTACTCCACATTTTTGACCCAATTTATGCTGTAGTCCCTCATTGACTACACCCTTCAAAAAATCAACTTAAAATAACATTTGAAAGTTTTGTCCTTTAAAAGAATCCCTTCATGGCTTCCAATTACTCAGATGTACTGTAAGTCTACACCTTTCCCTATGAATATGCAAATTAGTCCAGGGACTGCAGATAGAAATGAGCTTGAAGCTCAGTCTGTTGCATCTCCTCTGGTATGAGATTTTTTTGTACACAACTCTGCGAAAACACTGTCAAACAACTCTATGCTACACAATGCAAAGTTGTAATATTGGAGTGATTCATGCATGCATGTTCAAATTGGAAACGTATTCATGAGTAAATAGAAAAGTGAATTGTACAGGGTCGTGTATAAGAACGGAAATGCTGATGCATTGCTCTCAACAACATAACAGTAACAGTTAACTTGAGTATATTGCTTAATTACCTATTATTACCTAATAATAATAACAGCTATTAATGTGTTGCATGTGTCAAAATTGCTCCTTTTGCAGCTTTGCAAAAGAAGTCGTCTCTTCTTCTCTGCTGCTACTCTGATACAGAAAGGTGACAAGATTGGTTGCTTAGGTTTGTGAGATATTAAACCCCAGTTATATGAATCCATGTTTTTAAAGCTGCCATTGGTACACTGCAGTTTTAAGGTGTAAATGCTCAGCCATGATATTGACTGCTTATTTCACTAATGATGTGTCTCAAATATAAAATACTATGTAAACATGCTAACAAGGAAAAAAAAAATCTTGATTTCTGGCAGCTTGGAGAGGGTCTTTAAAGGCTTGTTTTTGTTCGTTTTTGTGTCAAGGGGTCGTAATTATGTTAGTTAGGAACATGTCTAAGCACACGTACTCAGTATTTAGTATGTATAGAAGTGTGCGCAAGTCCACAGTCTGTCTGCAGCTGCCCTGCAGTACGATGAGGCCTTAAGCGCTGATTAAATACAAACATAGAGGTTGTGGTATATAACTTACAGCTTCATAGCACCAGTCCTTTAATACATCCAGCTCTCCACGGATCATAGCCTGCAGAAAGGACAATGACTCAGTTATTAGTGCTTCATAACATCACACGGGTATCTCATGAGTGACCTTGCCAGTATGTTACACTGCTTCTAACAAAGCCTGCTTATTACTATAGTAACCTTTCCTGAAGTCATATAATCTCCATGGCACTTTTAAAAAATCTAAATGCACACTGAGTCACCGCAAAAAGTAAGATGGAGAGTCTTTACTTAGTAGTCTAAATCAGATTTTGCTTCCTTAAACCGCATCCAGTGTGAACTGAACTGTGGCTGCTAGCTGACTGTCAGGCGTCGTTACTGACTTTGCTCATTCCATCTGCAACAGTATGTCTTTTCTTAAAATCATATTACGTGTGATTCTTGCTCTTCCAGTGATTTAAATTATGTTTTCAGCTGCTCACATTATTTGAACTCATCTGACAGCTCAAGATCAGCGTCATCAAAGCTAACAGGAGAACTAACAACTTCTGAATATGATCTAAGCTGCAGTAAAAAACAGTGCCTGATGAAGTAAGACCTTTATGAATCAGTCTGTTCTTAGCCTCCTCTGTAGAGGATCCCTGAGGTATTCAGCAAAGAAAAGTGTGTGAAAGAAGCAACAAGAGTCAAGGCAATCCTGAGAGAGAGTAAACAGAGGCTGGAAGAGTTTGTTTACCTCTAGTATGTTAGGGATTATATCTTTCTCGCACTGTTTGAGAAAAGAATCTTTGTCAAAGTTGGGATCTGCCTTCACAATCTCTGTCAGCACTTCAGACATTTCCGTCTTAGAGAAAAGACCACCTGAAAAACAAACACCAACAATGACATCAGTCTGTAACAGAAATGAAACATGCTATGTTTAAGCTTTCTGATTATCTGGAATTATCTAGAATACCACAACATCTTTTACTTTTTGCTTGCTTATTCTGTCAGTTTGGTCAGGATAATCATTTAAGAAACAGCACATGCACAATCAATACTAAATATGGTGGCACATTACCTAGAAAGCCAGTGACTCTGTCGGTTACAGCTCTGGATGCTCTGATGAGGGTGTTGTCACTTTCATCATATTTCATTTTCATCTCAAAGAATCCTAAAGGAAACAAAAGAGAATACCAGTGTGAGGAAAAATTGCTTAACAATGTATTAGTGTAAATATTTTTCAGTGATAACGGTGGTTAAATCTTGCACCTGTGCAGGCACATAGATCACAATCTCAAATAAACCTCTGTGGCGAGTTTCCAAATATATTTAAGATGACTCTGAAACAGTCTTAATTTACCTCATAGAATAATGGAAGTTAGACTGTGTCATAAAAATAAAGACTCACTAGTTTTGAGCCAAAAAATAATCTGACCTCTTACACCCCTAACTTAGACCTAAGACCCATGTTGCCATGGTAACAATTACTATCACCTGCTGACCTGTAGCACGCAATAATGAAAAAAACAGAAAAATATGGCTCATAATTTGTTGTTGGCTAACATTGTTACAGAGAGAGGAAGGGAGAGAGTTTATAGATTCTGGAGAAATCTATTGGAAACATACAGCAGTGAGGACATTGTCAATTGTTTTTGATGTTTTACTTACTCACCTTTTTCTTACTTAATACAGTTTACCCATAATTCATTGTGCTATAGTCGGTAAGAGAACAACCTAATCAAAGGCTATCTCTGTGAAAACAGCCCCAGCACCCCGTACTGTATTGGTTTATTATGGTTTACTGTAAACAATCTGCTGCCGCCTGCTGCCTGTTCAGGAAATTACACATAGTGCTCATTAGAGCTGTTCTATTGTTTGTGTAACACTAAAATTCACAGTGTTGAATCTCATACTTACTGTTAAAAACTGTATTATTGTCCTTGAAGTCTTTCCACTGCTGGTACCACTTTGAATCCTTGTGGAGAACGACGCCCATAGCCTCCCTGCATCACAAAAATCAGTTATATCAAATATCAGTGTCTGGAGAGACCTGATGTTCTCTGCAATTAGGTGGGAAGATATGTGCATATATTGGAATCAGCAAAATGAGTTGGATAATATTGGCATATTGGATATCACAAAAATCCAATATTATGCATCCATGCTATGCATGTATAGGACATATTACTACATGATATAGTGCTCCATTACAACACAAGCTGTGTGAGTGAAAACTGGTTTGGGCAACAACAGATACTCACTCATTGGCTTCAAACACTCTGGTGTCGCTGTCTGCCCCTTTAAATGAGAAATCGCTCCTCTTCCTCAGCTGAGAAGGAGCCCTGTAAGGGCCAGCATCACCGACATCTATCTCCTTCTTCATGGTTTCCACACTCTGCAGCGAGAACAATGATTTTTATCGTAAACATCTTCTAAGTCTAAAGCTGCAAAAGCTGTAGCTACCATTACAGGTATGGCAAAAGCAAATGGGAAGGCCCTTTAAATAAACTGTTTGAGAAGTGAATTAAAAAACTTTTTGTCAACATTTTTTAGTTCCAAATGGGGGTCAAGTCATTGAAAATAGCCATTTTGAAAAACTGCAGCCAGATATGCTCTGAATGAAGCTACTACTGACTGAGGTTTAAGTAGAGAACTCTTAAGGGTCCAGCAAAGTGCCTCCCCTGCAGCTGTGTTTCTTTCTGTAAACACTGGCATACCAACCAAGGAGAGTCTAAATTTGTATATCCAGCATTAAAGTCTATAAACCATTATTAGTGTTAATAATTCTGAAATAGACAAAAGAAATGTATTTTAGCATTTCTCTCCCCTAGTGTATGGAAAACATAAACAGTGACTCCAAATCACAGCAAGCAGCAAATCACTGGATACAACAACAATGTAAAGATGAAGATGACACTACTAAACGTTCCTTCATAGATGTAGGAAGTTTGTGGATGAAACTTTGGTAATTCCTCTGACCTGTGAGATGGCTCTGAATGCACTGGTCCGGCCCAGTTTCTCTCCTCCTTTGGTGACGGACTCAGCAGAGTGCATGGCTGTCTTGGCTGCCTCCTCCACACCTTCCTTGATCTTCTTCCCAATGTCAGTACGACTCACCTCCTCAAGACCCTTTAACCCCAATGAAACACACACACACACAGTTAAAAAGGTTTAAAGTGCTTCTTTTTTTTTCTTTTTTTTCTTTTTCTTTTTTTTTTAAAATATACTAAACTTTGCCCTTCTTTGACAACATTGCAGTATAAGACATTTACTGAAGCAAATTGAGGAAAATCATCAAGAGCACCTTGACTTTATGACTTTATGGATTGTAAGCAACCACGCTAGTTTGTTTGGACACGAGATTTCTTGCACAAATCATTTGTAATTAAATCAGAAGAAGTCCTGACAGCTTACCTCCTTGACAGTGTCTGATAGAGAGCCGAACGTCTTCTTAAACACCTCGGACGTCTTCACTGTCTCGGCCTCTATTGATTTCTGATAAAAGAAAGTTGATGGTAATGAATTACTTGTTACAAATAAATCCAAAACTGTGACATTACCCAAATAAATCATTTATGATATGTTTTTTTTTTTTTTTTTTAAATGGCTAGAAACCAAATAATGTTCTTACATATTTCCGGCGGGCCTGCTGGAGGGCATCGGACTCCTCGAGCCTCTTGGCTTCTTCTCTAAACTTCTTTATGTTTTCCTTCATCTCCTGATTCTTACTGAACTCCTGACGAAGGTTGTCAACAAACTCCCCCAGAAAACCTTTACGTCCTGAAGCATGTCGCACCTAATGAGACAAACAGACAGTAGGACTTTAGTTGGACAGACAGATGTACTGGTAGAGTGAACTGATCACTCACATTTGTGTAAAATATTGAAAGACAGAATCTACCAGCACTGATGCAGTAAGAAAAGCAGTCAGATAAGTAAAACCAACTTTCAACATTCTTAGTTTAATGAAGTCATTAAAGCTACACAAACAACTGATCAGTTTCATTGATGTAATTAATAAAAAGTCACTTGAAGGTAAATAGGACACGTCATTGTGTACCTGCACAGCTGCAGCTGGGCTCCTGTGTAACCTGTAAGGATCTCCTCTCCACGCCGAGGAGGCCAGAGACCGGGAGCAAAGGGCCAAGGCATTTCTGCCAATCAGCTGAAACAGAGCCACAGTTTTCATTCTTTCATTTATTCAAACTTCTTTTAAAGCTCGAGAAATCTTCGAGGTTGAGCCATTATTTACAATGTCTAGAGTGCGGTCAGCAAGTCAAAAGATATCCCCTCATGTGATGATGGTGGTTGGCAGACCTGTCTTCAACCAATAAGTGACCCCTTCTGTCCTATGAATGTGGACATTTTCATTTTAGGACAAAGATATTACACTACATGATAAATGTAGTCACCCATAATAACTTGGTATTTATAGTAGATGTGCAGTGACTCTTCTCTCTGAGGTTGCATGTAGAGAAAAATCATGCAAAGATAGTAAGTCCCAGAGCATTAAAGAGGTAACCCTAAGCTTTCAGATATCTGTATCTCTGTGGGCAGTTTATCTGATCAACTCAAAACTCTAACTATGTGTGATGGTGTTACATCAAATTCTCTAACCGATCAGATTCAGTCACCCCAATAAGAATCTCAGCTGCATTACCACTGTGAATGTTTTTAACATTCTTTATCATGTATTTCTATATCTTGATGGTTCCCCCCACAGTATTTACATATTAGATATAGAGAGAGTAGGAGTTGACTGATTATTGGTCTGGCTGCTCAAATCAAACCCCATATTCTGTATTTTTCTGATTTTCTGCATCTTCATTTTTTAAAAACTGATTCCTGCTTTTAAAAATGCATATTGTAGGTGCTTCTCTCTGTGATGTTGAGCAATGCTCCATCATCAATGCATCAGTTACACATTAAGAGTCCATCAACAATGAAGGATAAATGTTGAAAAATTCCCTTTTAATTAAACATGTGTAAAACATAAAGAAGTAGAGCAGCTCCAAGACCTCAACATAGAATATTTGGTTGACATTTTCAGATAGTTTATCATCTAGTATACCAGAATCTAATGTGCCACACACCTATCTACATTTTTTAAGTCTTTCTAAACATATTTGCCAACTACTGTCCAAGTAAAATGTGTTCTCAAGTCCACTTTACTGTCATCCCAACTGTGACAAGACAGAATTCACATGTATCATAAAAAAGACCAAACATCATAGCATGTAAAATAAATAAAAACAACCTGTGAGTGACCAGTGTGGTTTAGTGCTTTATAACAAATAAGCATTAAATATAGCAAAAAACAAAACTTTTGTTCAGTCCAGGTCTAAAACATGTGCTATAAGAGAAGGTTAGATGTGATTCTGTATGATTAAATAATTTATACTGACAAGGTAACCGAAGGATATTATGCAACACCTAAAGCCAATGGTCTCACTGTCACCATCAGAACTGTAGCACCTCCCATGGTTCAGTCATTAAAACGGTGCCTCAATACCTGCTGCATTAGCAAACTTAATCCCAGTTTAACCACAGACCCACAAACCCAGTTAAAACAGAGTACTGGTTTTGGACATTGATGACTGATTAGTCACATTGACAGTTTCTGGTGATACAACAAGGCCTTATTCTAACGGACATCTCGCGCTCTACCTGCACAAATAAGCACCTTTAATAAATGGCGCCAAAACAACTGGACGTCAAAAGAGACACTACAAAGCCGTGCAGAGCCGGTCCCGTCTCTGAAATACGTGCCAGACAGCTGGCTGCTGCAGTGAAGGACATGAATGGACGTCTCACCTCGTAGCACCGACACACGGAGGCTGCCATCTTGATCCTGCACTGTGCGGAGCAGCACGTGCGTCTCTGCTGCGGCAGCTGACGTTCCGCTCGACCAATAGGAGCAGAGGAGGAGGGCGGGGGGCGTGGCCAGCTGTCAGCGCCACGTTAAAGGGAAACTCACCTAAAAACAACATGCAGGAAACAGCTTTTATAAGGATGCAGCACTGTTATATGCTACACAAGAGAAAATCTCAACATATTTGTATTGTTTATTAAGCTTTAAGTGCTTATTAAGGTTTTAATGCTTCTATTAGTAACTTCACTCCACTTTTACAGACTTGCTTTTATGTGAAGTTTACTTTTAGCTTTTATTAGTTTTAGTGTTTTATTCTGTTCTTGTGTACTAACCTGTTTAGTTCATACGTTCTCTTGTTTAATTGTAATCTTAGTTGCCTAGTTCTTTGGTGCTTGCTTGATTTTCTCTGTGTTTGCATGTTTTGACTGTCAAAGCACCTTTAGAACGCTGTGCGTAAATGAAGTTAATTATTCTTATCATTTAATTTGTATTTATTAATATAGACATATTGTGGTCTATCTTTTAGCACTTATCTTCAAATTTCAAATTTATCCTAATTTCATCTTAATTTCGCTTCACTTTGTTTGGCCTTATTATCTGCTATTCTGCTTTTGTTTTGTCCATCAAAACATTTGGTTAGCTTTTTTAAAAGTGCTACTTAGATAAATAAATACATTTTTTAAGAGCATTTAAGATTCGTCAGCTATTATTAGCTGACAGTTTTTCAGGGCTGAAGCTGACTCAATGGGTTGTAAGATTTTTCCATTTATCCAACATCCAAATTGGTTCAATTTGAATAAGCACACAGCTACACTCAGAAAATGTTCCAGTATGTCACAATAAATACGGTGTCCTTGGAGTTACTCAGTGTTACAAGCCTTTGTTGTTCTTGTTACAAGGTAAAAAGCAAAAAAAAAAAAAAAAGCTCCAAGATTTGATGTCATAAAAATGTAGGCTGTCTGCTGTTCACCTCAAAGAGAGATTTAACCTTCACATTTGTTAGGGTTACATTTTATCTATTATATAAACAAATCAAGGCTTGCTTTTATAAGTAGAGTATTCACTCCATGTTCTTCGCTTGATTGTACTTTCCATCGTAACCTAAATGCAATTTCCTTTGGGGTTTGAATTTTCATTAAAATGTCTTCCCAGTGTAAAAGTCAGTTTCTCCGATAAGAAGCAAGAGAGCAAACAAGTTTATTTATGCAGCACCTTATCACACGCAGAGGTTATTCAATGTGCTCTACAGGCAAAGGTATATAAAAATAAAATATCTGTGAGGTGAAATACAAAATATAGCCAAATAAATTAAAATTCAACAAACTGAAAACAGTACAGACACGTTTAATAAAGTGAATAGGTTATTCAAAGTGCTTTATAAGAAGAAATTTATCAAATTAAATTAAAAACAGAGTAGAGAAGTTGTACACATAGATTAGAGGACAGAAGATAAGAAAAATCAGAAGATGAACATTACAACATGAAACTGAATAATTAAATAAAATAAATGTAATTAAATTCTACACTGCAAAATGTCTTTAAACATACTGAACTGTTGCTAGCTGTTGTTCTTGCAGTGATGACCTGCAACCTTACATTTTACGCCTGTCATTTAAAGATGCTTTTTATTGGATCAGTGATAGTTGTCTGTTTTGTTATGTTCTTCATTAAATGGCAAGAACTGTATTTGAGGTACACACAGAAGCATTTTTAAATTATTTTTCTTGCACCCTTGTTGCCAATCTATTTATTTTATTTTATACTTTTATTTTAAAGTGTATATGAAGACTTCATTTGCAAAAACAGATAACTCAAACTTCACAAACCTTCAGAAAACCCACTTTTCCATCGTCTACCTGGGACAATATCAATCAAACTTAAGTTATCTCTATTTTTGTCATGTCATTTCTACTGGGTCAAATCCACTCAACCTCAGTTTGATTGATATTATCTCAGGCAAACAACAAAAGAAAAGTTTTCTGAAAATCTACAAAAAATCGAGTTATCTGTTTTTGCAAATGAACTCTTCATATTTAACTGGAAGCTAGAGTAGTTCTTGGTGTTTGTCAGTGTATTTTGAATGAGTTGCAAATGTCTAACGGTCTTATTAGGAGTGCATTCTACAGTTAATAAAAGCACAAATTAGTTTTTCTAACTCAGTACAAAATTTCTCCATCACAACATTTCCCAATCATTTTTTTTAAATTTAGCCCTTGATTTTGTTTTCTTAACCTACATTCAGAAAGCTGCTGGCCTTGAGCTGGTTGCTGCCTGATAAAACTGAATATTCTCAGAGCGGATGCAATCATCTTAATATTTCACACAGCATACATATCCAGGCATCACAGTGATAACGTGAGCGTGATTTGAGGTGACCTGACCTTGTTATTGCTCATTCACCACCAGACCGTGCAGCTCCACATGAATGGCAGCTCCTCCGCCGGCATGTCAGTAAAGCGCGCCCCCTGCAGGAAGGCATGCGCGCTGCAGGGACTCCTCCCCTCCCTCCCTCTGCAGAGTTGGGATCTCTCCCTTTCTGCGGCCAGCTCGCCTTGACAGCCAGCACTGGCGCAGAGTCTGAGCACAAACCTTTACCAATATTTTTCTGGCATATAGCGACAATTCACGGCCACACTTTCCCGCACATCCTCGTCCGGAGACAAGCGTTGGAGCGGCCTCGTCTAGAATGGGGAACCGAGACGATGAATACGATTTCTTGTTCAAAGGTAAAAAAAAAAAAAAAAAAGATGACTGCATTCCCCCCTCTCTTTTTTTAACACAGCGACAAAGCGATGCCCTTTTTTTATTCTTCTTTAGTAATTCCTGTAAATCTCTTGTGTCGTTTTCGCTCAGCAGCTGTGTGTGTTTTGTGTCAGAAACTGCCCGGATGGTGATCGCTGGCTGTTATTACAACATAATGCTGTCATTGTAACATTACAGCGCCTGCAGCTATATTTATAGGTGAAGGATGCAACACCCTATCCGTGCTCTGCCCTTCTTTTTTTTAATGTTATTATGAAACTTTCATCAACTCATAGAGCAGGATGGCTGTTTCCTTTTGCTTTGGATGGGATTTGATGTTCAGTCCTCCTCATCAGGTTGATTAAAGGCCTATTAGCCTGCTGATCAATAAGATTGAGCAGATGAGGATGCAGCAGCAGCAGCAGCAGCAGCAGCAGTGTGTTTCTGTGTTATTATGACAGTCAGCAGGCCTGAGACACTGTGAGGCTGAGACTCAGGTCCAGGTCTGTGTGGATCCAGAATGCCCTCCTTTGATCGTGATATCAGCTCCTGTGGCACATTAACATCCTGGGCCTGTAGAAGCCAAAAGGCCATTTAGATGTAACAAAGTATCCTCTGTGGGATGAATAGGGCATCTGCCGGAGGCTCTCTCTCTCTCTCTCTCTCACTGCCTCCCTCCCTCCCTACCTCCCCTCTCCCCGTCCCCCCTCTCTCGCCCGAGCACATCGTCTGTGTACCCGGCTGAAACAGGAAGGGCAAGGCCGCCTGAAACTGTCGATTCAGGTTTTGATGAAGCCTGTTATCAGCTTCCTGCAGCCCGGACCAGCGCTATGTCGGCGGGGGACAAAGTTCGGCTCTATTTCCTTTCTGTGGGAAGCAGAGAGGCTCCACCTCTGCTGCTGAGCTGTGAGCAGCAGCTACTGTACCTCCAGGCCTCCAGGAGCCTGATCAATCTATAATTGATCACTGATTGTTTACCACAGCTTCTGACATCAGGGCCTGTGGGTGTTGTCGGGTTATACTACTAAAGAGTAGATGTGACTGCGGAGGAAAGTTGTGCAGCAATATAAAAGATGGTATTTGTACACTCTGAATCACCTGAAGTTCCTCTGCTGCCTTATAAACGTGAGTTAACTACACTTCAGTTGATTAATCAGTCAGTCGTCATCCGCGTGGTGAAGGTGGAAAACTAGTTAAACTAACTGAACTTGAGAAAACAAGTTGAATAAAGTTAAGATATTGACTTGAATCAACTCGTCACACAGACAGTAGTTAGACAGACTTGAGCTGCTTTCACATTTTCTAATTTTAAAGAGTTTCTTCTTTGTTTCACATTGAGAACTTAGTCTCAGATGTTAGTGTTTTTTTTTTAACCTGCGTCAGTACAAAGACAATCTGTGAGGCTGCTCCTGGGTTCAGTGAGACAGATTATAAATCCACAGGTGTAGACACTGGATTCAGTACGAACCTTAGTCATGGTTAGAATCTATTTATTATGAAAAGAGAGAACCATAACTTAATTTAACAAACACTCACTGTAAGTTTCCAGCTTGTCTGTTTTCTCAAACTACAAACAAGAGTCTCTGAGGACTTTTACCTTGCTCATAATGAAACCTGGTATGTCTGCTTACATCCTGGTTTTATTTCCTATAAACTTAATTGAATGAGTGAAGTGCTGTTCTCAGCTGTTCTCATCATTTTAAGTCAAAATGCCTCCAGTGACTAAAAACTTGTGTTTTAAGATCTGAAGTGGTCAGAAGTTAACTAGGAATGAGGAAAAACCATATATTTAAGTATGATGAGTTGATCTGACTTAGCTCTTTATTGTAGGTACCTCTTAAAGCTGAAGTTTTAAATGACGTCCAACGTCTTGATTTGTGAAAGGTCAGTTATTCTCAGTCTATTAAAAATTTAGAGTAAAAAGCAAAAAGCACTTTTATTTAGTTCCGCATATCACAAAACAGGTTCTCATAAACCCTCCCCTCATGCTCTGTTATGTAACTTTATGGTGGTTCTGCAGAAAGAAATCACTGACTAAGGCACCTCTTTTTTTTTTCTAAACGGACAAACCCCCAGGAAGGCTTTCATTTGGTTTGTGGGTGGTTGCTTTTTGAGAATCAGTTCATTTCGGCTTTATCTATTTAGCGGCAATTCACAACGTGTGTCATCTCGAGCCACTTCACATGGCAAGATGACGACCTTGCAAAATGATATTATAGAGAGAAACCCAAAAAGAGCAGTTCTTTGACAGCAGTGAGGTGTTAAAACTCCCTTTTAGAAGCAGGATAGGGAGGCTGCTCATCTGCCTAAACCAGGGTGACAGTAAAGAGAAGAGAACACAGACATAAGAGGACAATAAATACTTCAGAGCTTAGTGAGGCTGCTGACTATAGATTAGAAACATGCAGCTCCAGAACCACAGATACCTGCACAGAGAGAACAAAACAAACAAAACATGCAATGTTGTCAAATAAATGTATGGAGAGAGAAAGAAACGAAAGTAGCATCATGGGAAGTCCCCCAGCAGTCTGGACAGACAGCAGCATAACTAAAGGATGGTTCAGGGTCACCTGGGCTGCGCTAACTGTAAGATATATCAGAAAGGAAAGTTTTAAGCCTAAGTATAAGTAGAGAGAGAGTGTCTGCCTCCCAAGCCCAAACTGGAAGCCGATTCCCTAACAGAGGAGCCTGATAACTAAAAGCTCTGCCTCCCATTCTACCTCTGGAAACTCTAGAAGCCACAAGTCGGCCTGCAGCCTGAGATCCAAGTGCTCTGTTGGGAAAGTACGGTACAATAAGGTCTTTAAGATACAACAGAGCTCGGTATCTCCGTTGTACATTGTGTTTGATGTACAAGAATGCTCTGCTGTTGTGTTGTTGCTAAGGCTGCTGTCTTAATGGATTTTTTTAAAAAATCCAGTTTTAGACTTCAAAACAGAGTTGATTGTTTCTCTGTAATGCTGTATGGCAGCAGTATAACACATCGCTGCTCCTAAATTCAGTAATCACATTACAGTTACTGAGCAGCTACTTTTGTTTTGAGGCAGTAGATTCAACTAGCAGCATCATCAGATTCTCTTAGACTTGCAGTTTAGCCTTATTGCCAAGATTTTTTTTCCTGTAAAGGGCTGTTTAATGTTGAGTTTCACTGATTTTGTTGTTGTGGTAATGCTTTCCTAAAGAGTGTAAAAGACAGATCTTGTGTTTATCCTCCTTATTAGGGGATTTGTGTTGATATGTGAAATGTAATGTCATATTGTTAAGTAGAAATGAGGTTAAAATGCATCTTAGGGGATGCTGCACAAAAGTAGTGTAACAAACTGCTTTCTACAGGGAATAAATAAGTGAAGTAATGCATAATAGATGCACGCTTTTCTTCACTACTGAGCAGTATTGATTGTAATCTACCAGATATCATTTTGCACACAAGCAAAACATGAAGCCCTGTAAACAGCAGCATCTGGAGGTGCTGCTCGGTGTGAGATCAACCCTTATTTGGTTAGAAAACACAGGACCCACCCTTCACCTCCTCCTTCCTTCTCTCCACAGTTGTGTTAATCGGAGACTCGGGCGTCGGGAAGAGCAACCTGCTCTCTCGATTCACACGAAATGAGTTCAACCTCGAGAGCAAGAGCACCATCGGGGTGGAGTTCGCCACGCGCAGCATTCAGGTGGACGGAAAGACGATAAAGGCTCAGATCTGGGATACAGCCGGACAGGAGCGCTACAGAGCCATTACCTCGGCGTGAGTCCATCCTCGTGTCACCTGATACTTCGTCAGTACAGTCACAACTGACACTTTATCCTTCAGACTAGAGTACTTAAAATGAGGCAGGATATTGGCTGTTCTATACCACAGTTAAAGAGGTAGAGGACGCTCATGTTCAGTCAGCAGCCGATGCTTTAAATCTTCCTGAGAAACTGGTGCAACTCAATGCCCTAAATGCATAAGTGAAGCTCATAAACTGCAACAGTACAAAAAACCCAAAGTGGGTTAATGGAGAATATAACCTCACCACAAGGTAAAAGGGAAAACTTTGTGCAGACACCCTGAGATCTGTGTGTTTGGTTCTGTTCCAGATACTACAGAGGAGCGGTGGGCGCGCTGTTAGTGTACGACATAGCCAAACACCTGACCTATGAGAACGTGGAGCGCTGGCTGAAGGAGCTGAGGGACCACGCCGACAACAACATCGTCATCATGCTGGTGGGCAACAAGAGCGACCTGCGTCACCTCAGGGCCGTACCCACAGACGAAGCCCGGGCCTTCGCAGGTACTGAAACTCAGAAACAGAATCATTTGGCATATATTTCTTGTACAAAGTCATATATAGGCATTTCTCTTAAGTTGTGTATTGAGTTTTTAGCGATATTTGACATATATTATGATTAGAACACATCACACAGCACTTAACTGCATTGCACTGTGTGCAAGAGGTGGGAAGAAAATGATGTAAAGAAACTATACTTGGTTATTCTCTTGACATGTCTGATACTAAGTGCTTTCTGCATTGGCTTTTTCTCCACCTGATTTTACAAACCTGTATTTACTGCTATATTATTTCTCATGTAAGCATCACAAAAGCATCCCCAATGGCGAAAATAGGTTTACTTCTTGTTTTGGAGGGGGAAAAAATCCATTAAGTTTGCATAAATTTTTTCCTCTTGTTAGGATAAACAGATCTTTTTTTGCTGGTGATTAAAAAAAAAAATGTTTACGGAGGATTTAAATGCCTCAAAATTGAGCTTGATGTACTCGTGATGCACTCGGATGTACAGTTTGTACATAGAAAACAAAATCACACTGGTTTGATATTATGTGATGATAATTTGAGAACCACATTTATGTGATACTTGGCTTTGTTTTGCTTTGCTTAATATCCTTCACATTAAAAAAACATACTCTGGTGTCTGCAAAAAGGGGCTGTTTTGTTGCTCTTTTATAAGAAAAAGTGAGCTGTTTATTCTGTTAAATTCATGTTTTTCTTTTTTTTCCAACCCTCCAGAGAAGAACAATCTGTCATTCATAGAAACTTCAGCCTTGGACTCAACAAATGTTGAAGAAGCCTTCAAGAATATCCTTACAGGTGCGTTCGTAGACTGAGATGAGATTGATGGATGTAGATTTAATGCAGGGGATTCGTCACTCTCTGTACCTAGAAGTCGGGCATTTGTTCACTCCAGTGGAAACATGAAAGAAGACCTGTAATGTTTATTCATGGACTATAATGCCTCAGACGGGGAAGGTCTTTTCTCTTCTGCACCTCAGAAATGTGTAATGTGTCCTGGATTGGCAGAAAGTTGCTGAAACACACAGAAGCTATCAAAGCCCAGGGGTTTATAAATGAATTAAAGTGAATCGTTGAACGAATATGTGCCAGCAGCACATTTAAAGAGGTTACTTCCCCAAACAAAAGACACAAAATAGAACGGAAGAGTAAACCCAGCCTATATGTGCAGTGACTCATCCAGGATAATTATAAATCACAAAACTCTACATACAGAACGCCTGAGAGCCTCGCTGCTTTATATTCCATTATATTTGGAACTGTTACCTGGCTCTTCTACATAAATAAAGACACTTCCACCACAAATTGATGCATAAAAACTCACCAGAATGCAGGAAATGAACTGTTTGACATCGAGCATTTCTTGGAAGAGGACACCAAGCCTGACTTAAACTTTACTGGTGTTTGTCTTGTGTAAATTTTTAACTAAAGTATCATCTTGTAAAATATCTTAGTCATGTTTTCACTTTTGGTTTGACTGTTATTCTGATGTAGTGGTGTGCCATGTCTCACTACCATCTATACTCAGCTAGGGTGTTTTAATTTGAAATACCTCACATGGTTTTAAAGGTAATCCTGTAAGGACATAGTGGATCAAACTAGAGCATTCGGATTATAAATGGCTGACGTTTTTCATTTCATCTGCTCAAAAACAGAAATATACCGCATCGTATCGCAGAAGCAGATTGCTGAGCGGTCTGCCCATGACGAGTCTCCGGGAAACAACGTGGTGGACATCAGTGTGCCACCGACCACGGACGGCCAGAGGGGGAGCAAACTGCAGTGCTGTCAGAACCTGTAACCCATGGCAACTGTCCCTCCTCACCTGGGTCAATTATTAATTGGAATCCACAGTGTTGATATGCTTCCATCTGCCTGGGGTGCAATGTTGTCTGAATCTGCACTTTTTAGACCAGTGGAGTCAGTTCCATTATGCCACAAGCGATCAATCCCCAGAAAGAAGTGTTTGAATTGATTTCAAATTGTAATCTGACCCAGGTACAGTCTGCTACTTTCTAGTGCAAAAACAGGACTGATGGTATTAACCATAATAGAGTAGCAGAATAGCCTTGCCTGAGACCCTGTAAGCCTAGACATCTCCCCTGGTAGACGGTTATTGCCACGCGTTGGAGGCCTGGGTTTCAAATCCTGCCTGTTTCAGTCGTATCAGCAGTCCTGTTTTTGGGCTTCTCTCCTCCTCGTTCAGTCATCATCTCAAAAGTGGTTGTGACGCTGCTGACGCTTATTTCATTTTGTGTAAAATATATTCTTTTTTTTTATTTTTATTTTGATAGCTTGTCTGCTCACATACATTATATTAATGCCATGAAATTAAATTTTACAATATTACCTTTGCTGTGTCCTCTTTTTTTGTTTCTTTTAGCAACATATATTAAAAAAAGACATCCTGTAATAGTTATGGCTTCTAACAGTTATTTAAATTAACATAAACTGCTGCAAAGCAAGTGTTACGGACCTTTCCCCTGAAGTAGTGCTGTAGAAGTATAATGCAGCATAAAAAGGTAGTTCTTTTATGCATTTTCAAAGTGTACTCTCTGACAAACTGTGCAAATAAGGAAACGTTAAGGTTTCGCAGCACAGAAACATTAATTCGGAAAACAATTATGAGCACTGTGACAAAGGGACCATAAAATCTCACTCTATGAGTCCCACTGCGATTGATCATTAGATACGTCTCCAAAGCCAAAATTATTAGAAGCCTAAACACCCAAAACCGACACGCAAACCACATTTCACACTAATTGAGTCCAGGAGTCCCTCATGTTTTATTGCACAATAACCCAACTTTCCAAGGGGATGCAGCAGGAAGACTACAATAACACAAAATACTTTGTTTAGCATATGCTGCATACATCGATTGACATCTCAAAACACATTTCTCTTTTGCACCTTTAACCCAGTACCAGCCTGCTCTGGTACGTCTCTGTTTTTTTTACATAGGTCAAAGGTCTGTAATCTCACTATGTCGAACACTGTGTCTCCTCTATTTAAAATTACATCTCTTGTGATGTAAGACATTACTACTGGTCATTGCTAGGCAGCTCAATTAATGAATGGTGCATTTACAAGTGAAGCAGGGCTGTTTGCTAATGCACTTTTATGACAATAGAAGAAACATCATCCAATTAGAATGTAAACACTTTTCCATATCTTCAATACTATTTCCTTACACAGTACTGCACTGCCGTTAAACGGTTGGAGTTAGTGTCATCCCATATACTACAATCTTCACTGGCCCCGTGACAAGTGTGATAAATACATGACGCCTCAGCTGCTGCCTGAACAGAAACAGGATTTGATTTTCACTTTTCAGACAGCAATGAAAAAGCTTTACCTGGAATTTAAAAAGGGTTCAGATTATTGACACTGGTACGAGCGACTGTCGCCCTCTACTCGTCAAAAAAAGAAGGAAAAAAAAAAAAAAGAATATTCACAGACTGTCAATCAAGTTTGTAGATTATTCTCCGCCGCTGGGCTACTGTTGACCCATTGTTCAAAATCAGCTAAATACATTGTGAAGGGGGCATGGGGGAATTATAGGTAGTGAATATGTTTCATATTATACTGTAGTAGCATGCTGAATCAGTTATATCCTGCTACATTAGCTTGTGTCTTAGTATTTCATAAATTTGTGTCACTGACATGAAGTCAGGCTGGTTAGTCCGTTATCCATGTGTCCACATCCCAGCACTGGCTGTCCGGTGACAACTATGTTTCCGTCACCTATGACTCCGGAATGAGTTCTTCCCAACACCACTTCTGTGGTCGGCTAATACCGTAGTAGTTTACATCAAGTGCTTCAATAAAAGAAAACAGGAGGAGAAAGTAGCTCTTCCCTCTCAGAACGGTCCATACGAAGTGCAAAAGTTCATTAATATGATTATTGTTGTTTTTAATGAGTGCTTCAATGGGCTTCCTTTTAAATATTCCTCTCGCCACCGCTCTGCACTCATACGATGGTCTCATCAGTCATTTTCTTGGTCGACTTGGTCGGCACTGAACGCTGGGTGGTGTGTGCCCCTTTCATGTCAGGCATGAGCAGACGCACTTTCTGATTGGTCCTCCTCCACTCTGAGTACAACTGACAGTGATACCGAAATGACACCTGAGAGAAGTGGGAGGGAGTGAGACAAAGAGGGGGGAGACAGACGTCAACAAGCTGACACAAAGACATTTGAGACAGAGTAGTACGATGCAGCACAGGAATGAGCAGCACGTCTGGTGCTCAAACCCCGTGAGCTGAAACGCTAATCTTTCACTATTAGACATGTGTAATGATGCTTTTCCTGAAGATTAAAGGATTGTGTTCCTAAAAATTGTTTTTAAATTCACCATACAGCCTATTTTTAAAGAACATGACCCAGTTAAATAAGTCCAGTTGAGGAAAAGAGCAGAGTCAAGCCTGCTTGTTCTTATTATTGTCAGTTAGCTTTGCATGTATTTGCAGGCATGCAACTTGTGGCCAACAATGAAACAAATGATTGCTCTGTGCCAAAGAAAAACATGATTCACATGCTCTCGCGCCTCTCCACCCTTTTGACTTTGATCATGTCTTATTCAAAGTCATGGGAAGAAAGAAAAAGCAGTACCCTGATATCTACGATAATCAAAGGAGGAACGGAGATCTGAGGCTGTGGTTGTCTGTGTATTGTGTCATTGCCCAATCATGTTTATTTTTTTACACCTAATGACTAAAACATCTAAATAATTTCATCAACTTGTGTGTAAAATCCAAAGAGGAGAATAACACTGACTCTGTGTATTATCTCATGCATGTTTTTTTTTTTTAGTTACAAGGGAACAACTTAGTAATGTCTGAGTTACCAGTGTCCAGAGGATGTAGATCGTGAAGAGGGCAATGGTGAGGGCAATGAGGCCAACGGCCTCGAGTCTGCTCTTCAGCTGCAGGTGGTCCTGGGCTCCCCTCAGACACAGCCACCCAGAGATGGCTGCCAGGGGTGTGATGAGAAGGAAGCAGGCCATGTCGCACAACAGTGTGCGCTTCTCACTGCGAGGGCCTGGGTCCTTCAGCCACTGAGAGGGAAAACAAAATACAGAAGTCATTGGTGCGACTGAAACATCACCTCAGTCAGCATTAATTTGCTTGATTTATGTGTTTCAGTTTAAAATGACAACTACAGCAAAATCAAAGAAACGGCTTCGAAGAGGTGTGAGCAACCTGCAAGAACTAATTAATACTGGTATTGACAAACAGACGGAGAGCTCTTCACACAAGGTCAGACAGCCGACCCATCAAAAGGAGCAAATCATCTCCTATGCTGAAGATGCTACTTGTTGGTATACTTTTATTTTTTATTTTTCCTTTATTTAACCAGGTAGGTTAATTGAGAACAGGTTCTCATTTACAATAACGACCTGGCATACATATATATATACATTCTCCATGGCTTCAAATGAATCTCACAGACACTTACAAAGTGCTTCAAAACAAGGCCAGAGAATAAATAATTTCCCAGTTTTAGACAAATCTACTTGTGTCTACCTCTTTTCATACAAACAAAGACATGAAACACATTCAAAGTGAATCCGTTCTCACCTGTGTGAGTGGTTGTGGTCTCCGTTCAATGGTGAACTCTGTGTGACAAAGTTCACAGTAGCTGGTGTTGGAGGACGACAGCCACTTCTCCAAGCAGCTTTTGTGCACTTTACCCAGCGTACCGGTGCAGTCGCAGGGTGAGAGCAGCGTCTCACCTCCAGCTCCCTCATGACAAATCCGACACATACCCACATCACTGTGCAGGAAGACAGAAGAGCATTGAAGACAAAAATGTGAAGATTTGCCAAAAGTAATTAAGTTACAGAATGTTCTTTGGACATAGTGCGCTCATCGCTCTCTTACCTCTGCAAGCTCACCGCTTTGACAACGGTGGAGAGTGGGCGGCCATCTTTCGCCGTAACCTTGGCAATGTACTGGGCCTGCGCGGTGGAGTCAGACTCCTCTGAATCCTTGGAGGCATCAGATTCAGCATTCCCAGAATAATCACAAAGGGAGCCAGGTAGGTGGCAGCAGCCTGACGACGACATGCTTAGCCGAGGGTGACAGTGGTGGAGGTGATGGTGGAGGCAACTTCAAAAGAAGATCTGGTCCAAAACCTGATGTCCTACTCCTCTTCGGCCCTCTTCGCCTCTGCTCACCTACAGAGCAAATGCCTGGAAGATGCTGAACAAGAAACAAAGGATGGGTGACTTGGAATATATAATTACAATATGATGTCATACTAAGTATGTCATGCAAGACTCTCATAAGTTCCTTTAAATTCTCAGTGATGCCATGTTGATACAACAGAGGGTGACAGCCTACTACAGTAAAATAAGTTGATTTCCAAATCCTGGTCTTACAAAAGCTGGAAAACACAAGTTTAAAAAAAAAAAAAAAAAAGTCTTAAGGCTAAGTGCAAAAGACCACTGCAGACATTTGTTGATATTTAGATGTCACTGTTTTACAAAAATGTCCTCCTACATTATAAGGACATGTTTACAAACACATGCAAAAGGGATTCAGAAGTTGCATACTGGAGTGAGATGCAGCCATTAAGTATTAGAATGCTTCAAGTATTTTACTCAGTGCATCTAAGTGCTTAAGGTTGATCTGGCTTCAAGAAACTGTGTTTGCAAACACATGCACAATGCAGCAGACTGCAGAGAAAATGTTGGGTTTTCAAGTAAGACCTTGAGCACCTTGGAGGTGGGGTTCAGGTAATCCTGTCAGGAACAAACACTGTACCCCTACCAGTCCCTGCAGCATGCCCTCCAGACTGATACTGTAAACAACGCGACTTGAATCTACCTTCTTGAAACTGAGAATTATAATAACCCTGCAGTGTGTTGATTGTGTATTTAAAGCTGAACGTTTATGATACTGCATCCAATGCAACGTTATTCTTCAAACACGGCAGCTTTGCACTATCGCCACCATATTACACGTCGATAAAAACAAAAGCTCGGACGGTTAAACTATGAGAACAGTGTAAATAGACATTTTCTACTCCTGTTTATACGACTGACATCCGATTCCGGAGCTAACGTTCATTATGGCGATGTGTGTATGATTGATAGAGAACCGATAATGTCTAACTGCCGTCTGAGGCTGCATTTATCTGAACACAATAACACCACGTAAAGTACTCGACCAGCTGTCAACCAACATGCTCATATATGTTAGTAACACGTAAAATATTGTAAGCAAAGCGTAAATAATAGATGTTAGTGTGATTTTACTCACCCGACGGCCTGCCTTTTCTCGCTTGGCCTTGGCCTCGGCCCTGCGTTGGCCAGACACAAGCTAACGGAGCTAACTGGACAGCCCTAGCTACAAACTATGACATTGACATCTAAACGAAAGCTGACGGTACGAGGGGATACAGAAGACGACCATATGCATTGGATCCTCTCCATGGCTGGTAGTGTATCTCCCTCGGTGTTTGTTTTCGGAAGAGCCGAGAACAGACGGCTGTTTCTGCCAGGACTGCTAGACACGGCTAACGAAGCTAAGTGGCTACCAACGGGCAAGCCTACCTCGGCGTCCCTCAGCTGTGCAGTGGTCATGTGACACAATGCTGCCTTCACAGTCAATAACAATATTTGAACGACAGCATACGACATTCGTTAATCATTTATCAAAGTGATAAATGTAGTCAGTGTGCTAACAAAGACAGAATTTATGTTAAGCTGTTACGTAGGGAAGTAAATAAACATGGGAGCCCTGTTAAAATTGTTCATAATTGTGGTGTATAAAATTAGAGCTTCTCTAACGACTCCATTAAAATGTCATTATTTCAACAGCATTAAATGACATGAAACTAAGTAGACTAAAATTGAAAAGAAAAAATATTTATCCTATGTAGAATTTGAAGCTTTCCTAACGTTTTGCAGTGGCACAAATATCGCTTCCTGCTGTATGCAATTGCAATTTACGAGCTGACCCTAAAGCAGCCCAAATAACAATATTATAATATGCCGCTTTGGGTATACTTTAGCTAAAAATGTTTGTTAAAAATGTTCTATTATATTTATGGTCAGCACTAATATGATTTTGGCGAGGGAACGATCATTATCTTCCAAAAACATCTGTTTTAAATTATGTTAAATAAAGTAAAACCGCTAGGTGGTAGCATTAAGTCAAGCTTACAGTGTTTCTAGTCCTTACCAATAGGAAGCAGCTTCAGAGAGGCTGCTGGTCCAAAGGTGGAGCCCAGGACATTTAAAAGTCAAGAGGGGGGTTTAAAGAATTCTCTAAAGAAAAAAAAATATAAAAATAATAATTAAAAAGTTAGTTACAGTCTTAAGACATTAGTCCAATAACAGCACATAATCAGTTAAAATGGTTGGTGCATGTTTAAGGTCTACACATATCTTTGGTCATTCTTATACTAGCAGTCTAAGGCACCTTTGGCCCAAGACACAGCTGTTGGACAACAGTTGAAAATCAGCCATTTTGCAATCATGTGCATATTCAGTGAGTGACTTGAGAAGCTTAAAAAACAGAAATCAGTCATTACGTTTAATATGTAGTATCCAAAATATATAATCTGCTGGTTGGTGAATCCTCGTAGTCAGCTATAAAGAGGCAAAAAGCTTTGAGAACGGACCTTCATGAAGATATCATCATAATCAAGGAATGCAAAAGTGCATGCACCTAAGCGCAGTCACAAACCACTACCACACGTCTTGAATTACTGCGGCATACTTGACTAATACAAATATGCATTCCCCAGAAAAGCTTAAGAAATACAACAGCACTAAACCTGATACCTGTATTAAATGCAAGCAGGCAGTGTACTGAAATAACCCGTTCTGGGAAGCACAGAGAGAGTGTTTTCAGGATTATCAATGCTAATACTACGGCATCCAAACCGTTTCATACTGGACTTGTACCCAGCTAACTATAACATTAAACAGAGACACCAGATATGTTCCAGAATTGGTTTGTTATAGGCCAAAAGAGTCATATCTGTGTCATGGAAAAAAGGTCAGTCGGTCAAGTATGGGTAGATGGACTTTGGAATTATCTACAACTCTCTCCTTTGAAAAGATTACATGGGTCAGTCCATGTCAAATCAGACAAAACTGAAGAAATAGGTTTTCATGTTTCTGCACTGTCTCAGATTTTGTTCAGTTCTTTTATTTGTTATTTAGGACCCAAACCTAAGTTCTGCAAGAAAAAAAACATTTTGACTAATATTTAAGAATTTCAAGTGTTTTCAGACAAGTGCATTTTTGTATTTTTTCTCCTGAAAAACCTCCTACACCACGATATTTTACACTGATGAGTCAAAATGGTGAGGTGGACTCTGGATCTATATATATTGTCACTATATGTGCAAAGTTACAAGCAGAATCCATGCTGTCTCATGTTGAAATGTTCTATTTTGATTAATTGAATGCTCCCACATATACTCGAAATGATTACTGAACAGAGAACTTGATGATAGTTAAATACACGTTGCAATAAATGTAAAGGGGTATTTAAACGCCTCACGGTAAGAGCTATAACAGGAAGACAAATAAAATAGGATTTCAGGGCTGCACTAAAAGCAACAAAAGAAAACAACTGAAAAGAGACATCACTCCTTAATGGATTTACGTTTCATTTATTTGCAGAAAGGAAATTCTCAAAAGCAAGGGGCTACATGCCTCTGTTGGTCTTTATGTCAAGTTTGTATTGTCTTCTCATCTTCATTGCGCTTGGAACTGGGATGTGACAGTGCATGAATTACTGGCACCAACAGATATTAGATGGAGGCCACTTGGACAACTGCAGATGGTGTTTGCTGTGTTAAAATCAATAAAAACATTGTTATGAAAAAGTGGCTACTCTTGTACTCTGTGTAAATAAAGGTTTGAGGTACTTGTACTTTGAGTATTTCAGTTTTATGCTACTATGCACAGCAGCTAGTTCTACACTACTACACATAATAACCAAATTTTGCACTTTTTACTCGACTACATTTATATGACAGCACATTTTGTGTTTACTCAGCACATTAATATTCTCAAAACCTGTAGTGACTGAATAAAATCTGACAGGTTGGTTACTGAGCACTTTGTTGATTTCCTGGAATTTCTCCTTTTCGCATCAACCAGCAAAAACAAAAAAAGAAAAAAACTCAACACAACAGTCTGGTAAAGCAAATATTTTTGAAAACTTCACTTGACCCAGATCACGAGCAATGAATACACTGTTCTCGCTCAATGTGATCAGTCCATTCTCCTGCATTGGCTCTTTCACTTTTGGAACAAAAGTGAATAATTTATTGTTAGATAAACAAAAGAAAATTTAAATTACATTTTGTGGAAACATTCTAGATTTTTTGGAGACCCACCTGTGAATTCTGAAATGACTCTTTAGTGCAACCTGAAATAGTAACATCAACATTAACCTTTAGTTAAACACTATCTATTTTTGTCATTTTGGCCTGTCTCCCCCTACCCCTACCTTTGCACTCCCTTTGAACTCAAACACTGATAAAGAAAGGGTCCACTCACAGTGAGTGTGATCGCACACACATGCACACACACGCACACACGCAAACACACTCACACATCTCAGAACATGTCTCTCATTAGCCATCCCATCCATCCATTTGGTCAATGTTCAACACAGATCATGAGATGCTACCTCCCTGCATGTGTGGGGCATCATGAGACATTTGTTAGTGGACTTTAACACGGACCAACACACAGATGCACTTGCAGTTCATTTGCACAACATAGTGGAGATGCTGGACTAGTTAATTAGGATTACACATTGGGGAACCATGACTTGAAATCTCTGAAATATAAATAATAGTAAAAAAAAGAAAGAAAGAAAGAAAGAAAAGAAAAAGAAAAACAGGTAATGTGTTTGTTTTTGGAATGGTCCCTAGATACATGATCCATTTCTGCTGTCACAAAGACAACATATTTCTGAGACAATGGAGCAGAAGTTGTGACAATGTGTTTATCACAATAGTAGTTCCTATTGTTTAACTTCATCATGAGTGTGTCATGACTCCATTTGCCTGCTGCAGACATTTCTCCCGATCATCATGCCTGAGAATGGCCTGACTTAGTTTGTGGAGAAGCCTGCTTCACCTGAACTGACTGTGCAAATGTACAGGAATTATACACATACTGCATGGCCCAACACTCTTTTAATCCATGTCATATTTGGATCACTTTTCTCTCTCCGACTGCTAGGCTAAGCACAGAGCCATGTTTTTGTTAAATGTGCCGATATACACGTCAGAATGATGGGATGATTAAATGTTCTGAAGCATACACTGGACACACACATAATACACATAATATCATTTCCAGACAGGTGACAAATTAATGGAAAAATGTAACAAAGTATCTTAATAAGATGTTGGCTCACCAGACCACCTTCAGTGCTCCTTTCCATTGATTCACAAAATCTCTGATTTCTTCTGGAGGGATCAAAAACATTTCTCCAGAAAATATTCCCTCACTTGGTGTTTTGATGATATTGGTAGAGAGCGCTGTCTGACATGGTGGTCCAAAATCATCCATAGCTGTTCAGTTCTGTTGAGAGCTGGTGAATGTGAGGGCCATAGCAAATGATTCACAACATTTTCATACTGACTGAACCACTTAGTGACACCTCCTGCACCTATGAATTATCATGGGATAAAGGTGATTATTCAGACTATTTGCAGTGACCTTTACCTCTTCCGGGACAAGTGGGCTGAAATCCCAACAGCAAAATGCCCCTATAGCACAAAAAGAGTCATTGAATCCCCTCACTGTAGAGGTCAAAGGTTCATGTTTGCTTTAATTTGTCACCCATCCTCTCTCTCTCACTCTCTCTCTCTCTTTCTCTCTCTCTCTCTCTCTCTCTCTAGAAATATATATATATCTTTCCATCATCCATTATCTATACACCGCTTAATCCTCATTAGGATCACGGGGGGCTGGGGTCTATCCCAGCTGACTTAGGGCTAACCAGCCGGCCACCTTGCAGCCCTATATATATCTTTATTTATATATATCTTTCGCATTACAGATGGAAATGGGAAGAGAGTGACAGCCACAGAGTGACAGATTGCATTACAGTAATTGCATTTTGATAATCAATTAATACTTCAGTTGCTGCACATCCATCTCATGATCCTTTAAACTATTTGCACGACTCCTCGTGAGTACTAGTGGAAGGCGGTAATTCAGTTTCTCTCATTTTCCAGCGATCTCTTGTCCTTACGAGAAGGACACTTGACTATGTTCTTTCTCACAGTACAAACATACATTGAAAGCCCAGTGGCCAGTGTAAATAAGTTTCTTTTATGCTTTTTGATCATTTGGTGAAATATTTGGTTTCTGTCTAACTCCCTACATCCATTCAATAGGATAGTGTTGTGGACATTTTTAGCAGCTTTGACAGGATATTGGGTTGTTAACTACAGTTACTCTGGGAATTCCATTAATCATCAATTGGGAGGCAATTTGTGCCTGTTGAGGGCAGTATTGACTTGTGTCACATCCTGTTTCTCATATACTTGTGTAGCAATCATAACTGCGCTGACATTTCAGGGAATTTTTCAGTAGTACTCTGTGTTTCTCTATCCATCAGAGCTGTTGTTGACTTTGATGTTTTGTACTTTGACCATGTACCGGCCATATCGATCGGAAGATATAAATAGTTCCACAGCAAAAAACAAACCATGAACCTGATCACAGCATATTAAATTCACAAATTCATCACATACCATAGTATGTAGTCACACTTTGAGCAGTGAAAATCAACCTCTGTGTATTACATGACAGTGCTAAAAAAACAAAAACATTGCTTTGTCCGACCAAATGCTTTCTATCTTTCATTCATGTACGTAATAACAACTGACAAAGCAAGACAAGCTGTGGTACAAAACTGCTGCTGCTATAATTTAAAACTCATTCACAGCATTGTTCTTTTTTTTCTTTACAAGACAGTTTTCTTATCTTCTATCTAAATAGATAAATAAAAGAATGACAAAAAAAAAACAATAAGTTGGAAGAAAATGTCACTAAATAGTCCACATTAATGTTTGTGCTTGATTTGAAGACATTCAGACATTACAGAGAACAAAGTTCATGAGATGTTTTCTGGAAAAATCCAATATGAACACACACAAAACATTCTTACATTTGTATTTTTTTTTCTAAAAATCTGAATGTGAAAGCATCCCATTAATTGCACCTTAATAATGTTTAATAAAAAGAAACACATTACCCCTTTTTCATCTGACACTGAATCAGTCCTTCAGTATACATTCAAAACCTTCGTGTCATGAGGCCGATATAACCTTGCTGACCCGAGACATGACATTATTGGTCTTGATGTTACAAATGTGAACAGTGACGTGATGCACATGACTCCAACTTGACATACTGCGTGCCCAATTACAAAACTGTGCGGACTCATTTAGCGGCATTATTGAATCACCAGCTGACTATTCTGAGTGGGTCAGCTGAGCGGCAATCAGGGGCAAAAAATGCAGTTTTGGTTAAGATTATTTGAGTGAGTAAGGAGAATCAAGCTGCTTCTTCCCCACCATGTTTAATTCTATCAAAGTGCACTTGAACAAGCCACATAATGGCTGAATGCTGCAGCAGGACAGTAAGCGGCTCTGTAGACTCTGTAAGACAGTGACTGAACTGTGGAGTCATTGGATGTGGGTGCGCATCAGTCTTTCATCTAAATTTAAACGTATATTTAAAGTATCTCTCTGGTCATTGATTAAACCACAAAGAACTTAACTCTGTGTATCAACGTTTTGAAATTTATCAGTGAAAATAATCTCTTCCTGGCTAAAATGGCTTAGATGTTCTTCTACACTGTTGCTCCCTTCAGAATGTGTGGATCTATGGCGTGCCCGCCTCTGCCTCTCTCTCTCTCTCTCCCTCTCCCTCTCCCTCTCCCTCTCCATGTACCCCTCCATCAATCGCTTCAGCTTAAGCACACCAGCTCACCTTAGACTCTGTTCAAACACTGATGTCAAATGGAAGAAGATTCTTCCTTGGTCTGATAAGACCAAAAGTTTTTCATAGCATCACCAAACGCTGCACATCATCACAAACACACCATCCCCACTGTGAAGCACAGCAGTGACAGCATTATGATGTGGAGATGCTCCTCTGCAGCAGGCCCTGGAAGGCTTGTAAAGATATATTTAAATAAAATGTAGCAAGATGTAGAGAACTACTAATCCAGTCTACAAGAGAGCTATGACTTGGCAGAAGATTTGTTGTGGTTCATTCACAATCCCCATGAAACTCGACAAAGTTTGAGCAGTTCTGCAAAGACCGATGAGGTAAAATTGCAAAGTCTAAATGTGCATGTGATAGAGACCTATCCACACAGGCTCAATGCTATAATTATGGCAAGCCGTCCATCAACTAAATGCTGACTTAATCACTTATTTTACATTTTAGATGTTGAATGAATTAACATTACTTTGACGAAATCTGCTTTCACTCTTGTATATATATATATATACATATATATATAATCCCCAAAAGGTGATCACAATTCTACAATTCTACAATTTCATTTTGCAGACGCTTTCAGCAGAGGGAATCAGCAGATTGAACAATTCAATTCAATTCAATTCAATTTTATTTGTATAGCGCATATTTACAACAACAAGTCATCTCATAGCGCTTCAACAGGTCAAACAGAGTTTGGTAACTCGTTCCACCACCAGGGAACCACAGACGAGAAGAGTCTAACTATCGACCTCACCCTGTTGTGGTGGTTGTATCAGGCGGCTTTTGTTGGTCGAGCATAGTAAGGGAGTGTAGACCCGAATGAGAGAGTTCAGGTAGGAGGGAGCTGTTCTCACTGTAGTTTTGTGGGCAAGTGTCAGAGTTTTGAATCTGATGCGGGAAGCAACTGAAAGCCACTCACAATTAAAAGGTAATAAGAAATGATATGGAAAACTACCAAGAGGTCTGAAACACATTTTATAGGCACTGTATATTTGCTGATATGTCATCATATCACTAATTCTATGACGAGACAGTGTAGAAATCCTTTTGGTACCTCAATAAACAATCTCAAATGATTAACTTTATATGCTGCTTCAATGTTGGTTGTGTAACCTCACCTGGAGTTTCTAATGCTGGGTATTGTTTTTGACTGGCTGTAGATATATTATTATTGTTTTGGTCCCAGGTCTGTCTTAGAAAAGTGATCTTGAATTCAGAAAATATGTCCTTGTCCAAATACTTGCAGACAGTGACAGGATGACCTTCTTTGAGAGGCTGCGTTTAAACACACTGCAGTCCTGATTCATTCAGTGCTGAACATGTGAACAGTGCATGATCAGGGCGGGGACGTGGTGACGTAGCGCGCCAGTCTGACCAATAGCAGCGTGTCCTGCAGCCTATGGCCGTACAGTAAATACTATGAGCTCTGCCTCCTTCCCTCTCGCTGCAGCAATGAAAGCAGAGGAGACAATCAAGTCATAGCCGTGGATGTGCCATAAAACCGTCTGCTCGACCTGCGCTGTTGTATTGCGTCCAGTCAGCGGGGTGAAGTCGAAGATCTGCGGTGTTTCAGTCGAAGGTAGCGGACATCTGTGTCAGAGGGGAGCCGGAGCCGAGACAGAGACACACAGTGGGGTTTGTGGGCCCACTGCAGTCTGAATCAACGCAGACTCGCCCCACCGCTGGTCGGTCATCGACGTCGTTTGTCTGTCGACATCCTCTCGGAGGCAGAGAGCACCGAGAAGGGCCGTGAACCGAGCCCCGCGTCTGACCCGCTGCCGCAGCCCGAGGCGCGCTGCTTGGCAGAGCATGCTAAATAATGAGCCAAAGGGACACACTGGTTCATTTGTTTGCTGGAGGGTAAGTCACACAAGCAACTCGTTTATTCATCCGGGTCTGATTTCATCGTACGGTTACATTGTGAAATATGACTGTCCGTATGGTTTGTCTTAGCTAGCCGTGCGTCCAGGACTGTTGTGCTGCTCGTCCTCCGGCAGCACGTCAGTCACGTCGGTGTCAAAACCATTGGTCCAAACCGAACTTACGAAAAACACGAGCTGCTGCTCAAAAAAAACACCAACTAAAATCCAACAGAGCGTGTTGTTGGGCTTACACGTGACTCCAGAGATACCACAATATAGATTTGTTTCGTTTTATCTCTAAATACCGGCTACTCCAGTGTACGGTTTCATTTTGTTGTCGTGCTCGTTGCTGCCCTCTGTCGGTGGCTGGACGAAGCGCTGCTGCAGCCACAGCATGGCTGCTCCTTCTCTGCTGATGTTTTGACTTTCAGCAAACTGGGAGATCGTTAAGATACGTAACGAAACGAAATGTCAGCTGCACGTCTGTGTATGTGTTGCCAACAGTCAGACTTATTTCTGAATCTTGTGTTTTTTATTGATGGAAATTAACTATTGAAATCGCAAAAACACCATGCAACTTAACTGAAAAACCCTCTTGAACCTGGGAGTATAAAAAAACACTTTAAGTCCAACTGCATTGTTACTGAAGCTCATAGGAATATATGGCTTTTTAGGACTGTTTGGCTTCCTCAATACTCACATGAGTATTACCAGACATCTGATATAAGTAGTTCCCAAAATCATCCGAAGAGTTTTGCCCTATTGCACAACTCTGCAAACGGTGGGTGGGAGCTAGTTTTGGGCAGTAAAATACTGTTAAAAAAATCAAACTGCTTTGCAGTTTCTGAAGACTCTTACTAAACCACTAAAGGGTGATCCAAAGTAAGCACAATACAGTGTGAGTACTTAAGCCTAAACTAATGAGATGAGCAATGCACCTCATTCACAATCCTGCAAACAGGACTAACAACTTTCTCAGCAAAGTAAATGTAAGCACAGAAGTGTAGCGGTTTATCGACCCAGTGCATCTGTCTTTAATTTATTCCATGGCCTTCATTTTCTCAGCGTCTGTTACCTTATCGCTGACAATAAAATTTGGTAAACTTGTCACACCGCGACTCATACGTTATCTCTCTTATCAGGGATTTAAAGTTCAAGAACTGCATGAGACACATTGTACATCTTGCATAGGAGAATTTAGTTGGCTTTTCCCAAAAACTTGAGCTGCCTCCCACAGCCACTGTGAGAGATACACATCCAGCAGTCAGCAGAAAGTAGGGCAAGGGTCACTGCTGCTGCCTGTGAGCATGAATGTGGGTTGGTCTTTTGAAAGGTAAATATAGCTGGTACTACACTAAAGAGATCGCAAGCAGAGGAATTTACTGCCTGGATGTCAAGTGACACAACTGCAAGACTACAGCTTTACCCGACCTATCTTGATTTGTCACTAATATAATCAACAAGCACGTTCCAACCGTGCAGAGGTTTGATTGTGAAATTTATTCATAAAAGTTGTGCAAAGTAGAAAGCACAGGAAGAGATTTTAAGATGATGTTCAGTAGCTTTGCTTTTATTTTAATAAAATGCTCATGCACACCACATCAGTGAAACAGATAATAGGATAATGTTGATTGAAATGGATGCATTATGCTTTTTGACAACGTGACTCCAGCTTGTTTACATGCTGATGGGTTCATGATGACACGTTTCTTTGGTTTATTTGCGAGCAGTCGTGCTTGTCATGTGGATAGGAGTTCAACGGGCAGCCTGCACAACAGTGACTTTCATTACGCCTCATTCTCACTTTCTCAGATGGCATACAGTCAGCAAAGTGTGACAGTTCCACCGAACTCATCCTGTGTTCAGAGGAAAGTGAGCTATTCATGAGTTCAGAGGAAACACACAACATCTCAATGTCTTGCATATCACAACACCATGCTTTGGCGTCTGCATGTGTCACGCCTCCTAGATGATCTCGGCGCTAAAGGGAATAACAGATTGTGTTACCATTGACCGGTATTCGAGGAGGGTTTTTTAAAAATAAAACTGGCAAACTGACCAAGCAGATATAAACGAGGCTTGGGCCATGTGAATAAAAAACACTGTTTGCAGTATTTTCAACAACATGTGTAGATCTGTCACTTTCTTGTAATTGCAGTTCCAAAGCAAACTTTTCCTGCTCATGCTTTGATCCCATCTCTTACCATTCCCTGTGTTTTGTTTTGTTTTAAAAAAAAAACCTTTTCCCTCCTAGATGTGGCGGTACAGTGGGTGCTATTTTGACTTGTCCTCTGGAGGTGGTCAAGACCAGACTGCAGTCCTCGTCCATCACTCTGTACGTCTCTGAAGTCCAGCTTAGCACTGTCAACGGAGCCAGCGTTGCTCGTGTTGCTCCACCAGGGCCTCTGCACTGTCTTAGGTAAGGAGATTTATGCTAAATGTTTATTTTACGAACTTTGCTTTACAAAAAGGAATCTTACCAAGATAACCTTTCATTAACTGTAGGATTTATGTGCTCAATATGCACTGAACTAAAAAGACACGGCTTAGCTGAATGCTATTCTTCCCCCTTGACCCTACCACTTGACATCCCATCTCTTTTAGAAATTGAGGGTTAGTGGTTGTCTAGTACTTCAAATGGCTCATTACGCTATGTTTGTTTGCTAGTTGACCACTACCCCTCGATCTCAAAAAGAAATGTGACACTTTAGCATACACGGAAGTGCACAAAACAGAAGGGAAACGCCAAGGGAGGCCTGAGTCAATGTCACGGTGAATCCACAGTAATAATGAAACAAGATTGTTTCTATGTACCGCTATGACTGTGCTATGTGACATTCAGTTTGAATGGCTATTGTGTTATACTACTTAATGACAAGAAATGTGCTTTTAGAGGATTAGTATTTGCCTCAACTTGAGACTTGACTGTAGAGTTACATCAACATAATAAAATACAAAAGTTCAGAGTTCCAAATATCTACATGTCTTCTTTCGCACTACCCATCCGGGTATGTGTTGAACCAATCAGAAGCTGGTCAGCAAGCTGGAAATATTGTTAGCAGAAATGCTTTTCCTGCCCTTGGGGTAGGTTTTGGGTTTTTTGAATCGCTGGTGAAAGTTCCATTCGTGCACTACTTGTTTAGTTTTTGAGAGCAACGCAACAAAGAATATTTACATACGGGCAACTTGTTTTCATTGGCATCCATTGACAAGGTAGCGAATTTATGCTTCATTTTGACCTTGCAGCTGTTTGGCTGTTTTTGGGACTTTCTTCAAACAACTACTGGGGAACCAGTGTAATAAATACTCAATGAATTGTTTCTTGTTTTTTTTTTTTTGTTAAATACATGTAATTCCTCTTCTCAGATGTGGTGGAAAGTTGCCAGATATGCACAGGGAGAAGTGAAAGTGAAGGGAAATTCAACAATAGTTGGGCGATTATTTAGAACCTACTGGAGGCTGGTGTTGTTGGATATTTAGAATTAATGTGGATCAGTGAGGGATTAACACCGTTTAAGTAAATATTCACCGTAACTTAGCTACATGGCTCTATTCTTGTTGTCTGGCAAGCTATCTCCATGACTGTCACAGAGCATGTCACACACTGTTAAACGTAATGCATAATGCACAACTGGCAGTGCGTGGAATTTTCCACCACTAAATGAATGCATTCATTATCTTCACTATCACTTTTGAATCTTTGTTAATTCACTAAGGGTTAACTGTGAGAAAAATGTTTAACAGGAAATCCAAGTTTAACAGGATATGTAGGCAAAATGCTAACGCTGCACTTTAGAATGTTCAGTATACATTTTTATTTGTCACCACAGTATTTTGCTAGAATCTGAAAAGGACAACACCTCCACTTATTGCTTCAACCAGTGGGAACAAATCAGTTCTTTAGCTAAAGCTATGTAAGAAACAGGGCTTTTTTGAGGACCTTGTGTAATAACATAAAACTAATGCCCTATTTAGAGAGGTTGCAGCGAATCTGGAAATTGTTTTCGGCTTCTTGTGTTGTCCTTAAGATAAACAGCCACTGGAAGACACAGCACAGCGCTATCATGCAATACTGAGCGGAGCAGGGCAGAAGAGGGAAGAGCCGTATGGGGCAAGGAAAGGGGAAAAAAAACCCTGCACACTCGTCAAAGTGGGTCAACATGCAGGGAGGTACAGGCCTAGATTCATTTTAGAGCAGAGTGTGTCGATTGGATTTTGTGGCTGCGGAGAACACCTTCGCGCTAAGCTCTCTGTTTTCTAAGTTTAGGTACTTGCTCTGTTTTTTTTTTAGGACAGAACTTGGCAAAATCTCACATCCAGGGCCGAAAGGCACAGACCGCAAACCCACAAACAAAAGAATAAATAGCTACGAACTTTTCCCAGAAACATCCGAGCTCTATCTTATTTTTAAATAGAATGAGTCAGCCTCTATCATACGAATATAATCGACCTTAAAGGACCGTGTTACTGTCTGGACCAAAAGACAGTTTTCTCAGGGGTTTCTTTTTTTTTTTTGAAGGATATCATCATGCTGTCTTTGTTTTTACTGTGTGTCACTGTTTTGTGAAAACATGCAATAAATAAAGGGTGAATTAGTCGCTGTGAACATGCAGAAATAGGTTACTGGGTTAGTCTGCGGAAAGGTGAAGAATCTTTGAACTTGGGTGACAACGGAAAAAGTACACGTGAGCGATCATGATACCACTGTGTACACCACCAGGGCCAGGGCACCTGTCATATCATTTATTTTGGTTCCAGTATGTTAATAGTGACCTCGTGTATAATATCAGGTTGTGCCGAGTGTCAGGTCATGGCAGTAGGACCAAAAACGTCCAATCCGTCTGCTTAGGGCTCCTACATTGGATATAGATTTGGCTACAAACAGAGATTTTGTGCGAAATAGAAGTTTTAATTTGTAACCCATGAACGTCAGTGTGAAGTGTTGGCGCTGTGTTTTCAGGGATCACATAGTATTTAAAGGACATGTTGTGTTTTTATTTCTATTTTTATTTATTTTGTTTTTTTTTTTTACACACAATGGTGAAACTAAGATCTTCATGTCTCATACATTTCATGGTGGATCCAGTTTTTGTGATTATATTTGCCAAACAATAATAAGGTTTATTGTTGTGGAAAATGTAGTTACAGTTGAGCCCAAAAGTATTCACATTTTGATTTATAGCAAATTTATATTTGCACATTTGGTTTTTCTTCTGCCTGGGAGTGATGTACGCAAGTGACAAAAGACAGTTAGGCATTGTTTTAGAGATGTTCACGATAAAAAAACAGGGCTGCAAGGTGGCTCGGTGATTAGCACCGTCACCTCGCAGCTAGAAGATCCCCGGTTCGCCCGGGATCTTCCTGCGTGGAGTTTGCATGTTCTCCCTGTGCAGTGTGGGTTCTCTCTGGGTTCTCCAGCTTCCTCCCACAGTCCAAAAACATGTTGAGGTTAATTGGTGATTCTAAATTGTCCGTAGGTGTGAATGTGAGTGTGCTTGGTTGTCTGTCTCTAAGTGTGGCCCTGTGATAGACTGGTGACCTGTCCAGGGTGTCCCCTGCCTTCACCCTGGGATAGACTCCAGCCCCCCGTGACCCTAGTGAGGATTAAGAGGTGTATAGATAATGGATGGATGATAAAAAAACAAAGTCATAGCAATAGTTAGCATTCATTGTGAACATCTCCAGGACAGAGTTTAACTGTCTTTTGTCACTTGTTTATTTATTTTCCAGCCAGAAGAAAACCTGATTCAGTAGAAATTTACTATGAATTAGAATTTGGCATGCACATGAATCATTTTGGGTTTAGCTGTTTGCTCCTTGCACAGAGTTAGATGAGCACAATTGTGTCTGTCTTTTCATCTAGACATGGAAGTGAAAAAACGTCATTTTTGAATATACATCATGTAGCAAATATCTAAAACATCAGCTTTGTGGTAGACATGAATTCATAACTGTGAGTAAATTACACGAAAATTTGCCCAGTGTCTTAAATTGATATAAAATATTGTTTTCTTGTTCTGTGTTATGCAGGAATGAATGGATAAAGTGAAATGCTTAAATAAAGTGTTTGCTCTTTTCAGGTTAATTCTAGAGAGAGAGGGACCCCGCTCGCTCTTCAGAGGCCTGGGTCCCAACCTTGTAGGTGTGGCACCTTCCAGGTATGTAGTGTTGTCTGCAGTGTTTTGAGTGTGTTGCATGGCATCTTTCTCTTACTTTAACTTTTATAATCCCTGAATTGATACAACAGTGATGAACAGGAAAAAAGCCAAATGAAAAATACATAACCTGCACTTGCATGTCTTACAAAAAGCAAATAGACAAATAGGTCACCTCAGTCTTCACTAGGAAACAGAATCAGCCTGATTGAACCAGTGTTATCAGCACCAGCACGGCCCTCTCTCAGAGAATAAAGATATTTCTGCGTCATTTACTTCATGCGTTACATCAAACCTCGTGATTCCTTTTTGTTGAGAAACGTCGTTATCACAAGGTCATCTTTTATTCAAACTTCTTGCTCACTCAGAACTTCTGTGGGCAGACATAACAACAAACCACAAATACAGAACTGATTTTTTTTTAAACTCACGGCAGTTCAATGGAAATCTGCCCTTCAAAACCGAGCGGAAATGAGCGGGTTCCCTGATTCTTAGCTTATCTGGTTAGGCTTACGTAACAGCTTGGACTCAGTCAATCAAAATCAGAATAAAGCAGCAGCAGCAGCAGCAGATGCCGGCCAGCTGTGACAGTTTCCTCATGTGACAGTCGCTGTCATTGCTACAATGGAGTTTCTATAGAGAGGCGGTTGTGTTTGTGTGCAGTCTCCCTCCCTGACCTGTCGAGCTCTTCCTAGTTACTGCTGCGTCACATGACCATTGTCATCCTCCCATTGTGTGGTGGGATCTGTTTCTGTCTGAGCCATAAATTCCATCCTCTTCTTCTTTAATTCACAATTGTTCTGTCCTGTGGCTTCACTGTCTCTGCTGTTTTGCATTTTCAAGCTCCGGCTCTCTGAGGGGCAAAATATGCCCTTGGATATGCGTTTGTGTGTCAGTTCTGTGTTCTCGTTGTGTAGCTGACCATGACAGCTGTAGCAAACTGTGCTATAGGAGGCTGTTGTTACATAAGCAGTAAACCCGATGACATCGTTAGAAAAATATAAGCTTTCCTGCTGCCTTCTGTGCAATGTTATGTTGTACTTGAACCATGTTTTCCAGTATTCCCTTTTCAGGTTCTTTTTATACAGAATTTAAATATGCATTTCCAGGCTCTGTGACATTCTAGATACAACATCACAAATTGTATCGCCAGTTCACTGAAACCTTATGACCCAAACTCAATTTTAGCTGAATTGTTTAAATTGCTCTATATATGGTTCCACTGCTACATGATGTGGAACATACAGGATGCCTTTTTTTTCTATAATTTTTTTTTTTTGTTTTATTTCATAATGGTTTACTTGGTATCTGTGGAAGCTAGAGAGAATTTAAAATATATTTTGTTGGGTATGACATTTATCCATCCATCCGTTATCTATACACCACTTAATCCTCACTAGGGTCGCGGGGGGCTGGAGTCTATCCCAGCTGACTCAGGGTGAAGGCAGGGGACACCCAGGACAGGTCGCCAGTCAATCACAGGGCTACAATTAGAGACAGACAACCAAGCACACTCACATTCACACCTACGGACAATTTAGAATCACCAATTAACCTCAACATGTTTTTGGATGGGGAGAACATGCAGATCCCAAACCGTTGACCTTCTTACTGTGAGGCAACAGTGCTAACCACTGACCCACCTTGCAGCCCTCCATTTATCCAGGAAAATTAACATAAAATGTCAGTTTGTGTGACAGATTTCAAAACTGCATTCAAGTTTTTGGACCGGGGAGTCATGAGTGGCACTCATGATTCAGAGCTACTCATCAACATTCCACCGTCCGTGTCTGTAGGGTTATTTATAGACACATCAGAAGATTCACGATTAAAAAAAAACATAACACCCACAAGTTAGAGCTCTGTGGAAAGTGGAGCCACAATCAGAGATGATGCAGACAATACTGATTTTACACCAACACACAAGGACTGAGAAGGTGGACGCTCCTATAGCTCCCCTGGTTGAGCAGGCGACCCATGAACAGGAGCTGTTGAGCAGTGGTTGTGGGTTCAACTCTCGCTTACGACAATCTGCTGCAGGTCTTCACCTCACTGTCCTGTCTATTAAAGGCAAAAAGGCCAGAAAAAATTATTTAAACAAACAACAACAAAAAAAACGAGGACTGAGAAGGTTACTGTGTTTTCATGTCACTTGTTGTGCTTCAACTTGAGCCACTGCTTACATCTGTTTCCTTCTAGCTGCTTCTGGTGCTCACCTATCCTGTATTGTAGTTCAGCCGAATTCCCATTTAAGGAGTTCTCATTCATGTGTTTTTCTGTTTTTGCTGTCAGATAATAAAACCATATGTAATAGTCACTGAAACTCACTCTCATACAGCATGACTGCTGGTTATCTGACAGTCACTTTAGAGCAATTTCCAAGCTGCTACTCTGCACCATTAAAATACTGACTTCATACCCACAGCACTGTCAAACATACTAACCTTATGAGTTAAAAACAAAAGCTTTGCTTTGAATTCAGCAATATTTTCATATAAAATAATCACTCAGAAAGAAAGTTAGAACGCTGGAAAGTCAAGGTCTCACACACTCAACGTCTGTGTCAGCTGCTGCATCGTCAGCTGTACGACTCTGCACTGCTGCTTACACAGAGAGAGTCTCCTTCCTGAATACGGGTGTAAACAGCATCAGCTTAGCTGCATTTAAAGCTACAGACACTGAAACGGCCTGTTTAGAACCCAACTAGAACCAGGAGTTATACTGTCATGGTCAAATGAACCATCTTTGCAGTACTTTGAGCTGAAAATTGAAAGACATTCTGGAGACATGTGAGACTTTCATTAATTTACTGAAAAGAGGAACAAAACACGACCTTTTAAAGGTGAATGGCAATGCAACATTTCCACTCCATTTAAGTCTAATTTAAGTTAAGCTTAGCTGCAATATCGTTAAACGACATGGCAATTTTATTACTTTATTTATCTACAGGGGGAGGTCTGGCTTGCTGTGCTACAGAGTTATTCTCTCCTCTTGTAATTAGGAAACTGCACTTTAAACATCTTCTGATACTAATGAGAGTACAATTCATTGGGCATGCTGCTGGCGTTCATTAGCAGCACACATAGCACATGTGCAGTCAGCTCAGACCAACAACATCACTCATTACATGTGAGACGCCCACACATTGAGAGCTACTTGCATAATACATCTGTGGAGAAGCATGATTATGTTGTACATGCCTGCTTTTCAGTTCAGAATGAGGGCAGACAGTGAAGGTCACTGAGTTTAAATTCATTAAGCAGAAATGTTGACTAAATCCCATGATTTTATTTAGTGAAGAGCAGCTGGAATCATGGGAGATAAATTTGCCACTAAAACAAGCACACACACACACACACACACACACACACACACACACACACACACACAGTCAAATGCTATCATGTACAACTAGGGCAATATTAATTTTATGCACTTATGGTAATATTCTTTTTTAGCAAATATAGTTACTTTAGAAAATGTCACGCTTCACAGTAATTATTCAAAGACACAGTTTGTCAGCACTCATTGTCCCAGCTCGTGGTCTTTTATTCTGTATTTAATCCCTGAATGCATCATTAATTTTTTAGCTTTTTTGGTGATTGCTTTGGCTAATCGTTTCCTCTTTTTTATGGTGCTATTTGCAACAGGGCAATCTACTTTGCAGTCTATTCAACAGCCAAGGAGAAGCTGAATGGGTTGCTGGAGCCAGACTCTACCCAGGTGCACATGGTGTCTGCTGGGATGGCAGGTAATGATGGCTCCTTCTCCCCCACCCTTCTGTCTGTCTGTCTGTCTGTCCGTCTGTCCGTCTGTCTGTTGCTGTCGGTTTAATCTGCCTATTTGTCTGTCTATCAGTCTGCCTGGGCGGAATATCTCACTGATGGGTTTTTGTTGTTTGTTTTTTTTAAATGTTAAAGAATTATTCCGTTTGTCTTCATCAGGCAGCTTTCATTTTTCTTTATCTATTCATCATTTTTGTGCACAGTTTGAAGTGTCTCAGACACCACCCTTCCCCCAGACCTGAAGCATGCTAAAGCTAAATAATAATGTCTGTTACAAGTAGGCATTACCCAGCTGTTTCATGTATAGAAATATTAAATGTAAACAACAATCAGTTTATCCGAAAGCACAATTTAAGACTCTCAGGATCAAATTAAACTTGATTGTGGCAAAAACAGCCTCACTTTGTTTAACCCTCTGGACCCTAAATTCAACCAGCACGTCTGAAATAATGTTAAGTTAATAAAAAAAAAAACGCCAAAATTCTACAATTTCTCAGAGCCAGAAAGTGTAAAAACAAACAAACAAATCAGATTTCTGGCCATTTTTAAACTAATTATTTCTTGTTCTGTCCTGAAAATGAACCAAATCTATGCTTAAAATTATAATGTTCTATCAGAATAACTTAATTCTTTGGGTTTAATCCAAATTAGACCATTTAGTCAAACTGGATACCATAAAAAACAAAAAGTTCTGTGCTCCTCGGTGTAACCAAAAAGATGTTACTGACCTGGTTGTAACCAACAGTGCAGATGGGAAACAAGTATGGAAACAAATTAAAAACGTAGGTAGTGAAATTTATTTATATATGTATATTTGTAGTTGCCCTGTGATAGACTGGTGACCTGTCCAGGGTGTCCCCTGCCTTCGCCCTAAGGCGGCTGGGATAGACTCCAGCTCCCCCGTGACCCTAATGAGGATTAAGCGGTGTATAGATGATGGATGGATGGATGGATGGATATTCGTAATTGGTAGCCACTGGGGGCACTTTGGAAAAGTTGTACATGTTGAATCAATTTTTCCCCATTTTTGAAAATAAGTCATCAAAGATAGTCACATTTTTTTGTTTTTTAACATTTTTTTTAAAATAATTTATGGGATTAAAACTTTGTCATCCTGCACAGAACACAAGTTCTTGCTACTTCTTTTCTTGGTTGGTCTGTTTCCATAGAGGTGCAGGACTTTACACTGCAGTGGAAAATGACCCCACAGTGAGTAAAAATGCAGCAAAAAAAACCAAAACAAAACAGAAACAGCTTGGTGTTCAGAGGGTTAAAGCAAACTATGCATTTATTCTTTTTGTACAGTACAATTACCTTATTACAAAAAGTTAATCTCAAAACCCCGAAACCGTAGCAGTTGTGTAATTATATATCACATCTTTGTTACTAATCAGCTTTGTTCAGAACATTTTCTTTTTGTACACGTACCAGGACTGATAATACAATATATTGTCTCTCCATTGTGGCCTTGATGGCCCTCATATATTGCAGTAGAGGAGACAAATCCGAATGTTACACTGCTGGCATTTATACCATGACTGTCCTGTCTTTATTTATACACCAAAGAAGAAAACCTTGTGGTCCTCAAAGTTTAGGTTGTGCTTTCCTCCTCTACAAGTCCCGTTGTCCCCCATGTCCTCCATTATTTTTATTCCCTCCTTGCCCTTCTTTCCTCTTTTTTTTTTTTTTTTCTTTTATTTGAGGCCTCTCCAGAGGACACTGTAAATGGCTTAACATCCCAGTTGTTACTTAAACAGTGTGGTGTGGGCCCCCTTCTTTGCTCTGTGTGTATAGAGAAGAGAACACGGCCCCCAAAGGTCAACCGGGGCCCCTGGCACTTGGGCGGACACGTCAGGTAGCACCCCATTTCTTTACACTGGTATGATAAAAACCATGGTGATTTTTATGAATATTAGATCATTTGTAATGATATTACCATTGCTTATAGCAACGTGTTTGCTGCTGGTATGTAGTTTCAGGCCCTCATGTTAAGGTTTTGTTATTGCTTAGTCTTGACACAAACCTGCCCCTTCCCCGTAGCTTGTTCCATCAACATAGGAAAGGTAAAGTAATGACACACTTGTGTGGAATTTTTTTTGTCAGCACAAAAGAAATGCTAACCTTGTCTCTGCCACAGAAGGTTGCACTCGGTGTCTTTCATTTTGTCTTTGGTCATCATTCATCAACACCATTAGTGCTTCGGTCATTTCTTTTCAAGGCGATTCGGTGTCAGTCCATAACCACAGAGACGTGCACTATTTCCACAAGACTTTCTCTTGTTCAATTATGTGAATTATGTGCCTTGCTGGTACCGGTAAAAAACAAAACACAGATTTATATTTGAATGTGGACAAGTTGCAGTTAAGACACAGACATACAATTAAGGCAACGGGAAAACCATACCACACAGAGTATAAACAAACGTAAGAGTTTTCAGCCACTGTGCTTGGAGTCTTTGCGTCACACATGCCTTCATCTGCATAGCAGTTGCATACATTTATCTTATTACCTTGACAAACATGCAGGCAGAGATACACAACCTGAAGTCATATAACATAGGTGCTGGAAAATCAGTTCTTTATGGCGTCTTTGACATGTTGCGGTGTAATTGTACTGCACAATGTTTTGCACTCAATGAATGGACTTAAGGTCTCTTTCTTATATACATTTATCACAGCCTCCCTGAGCTTTGATCAATACTGACCAACAACAGAGTTGATGCCAGTAAGTCTAGCCTGAGCTTGCAGTGGTCAGTGCCAAACCCTCAGTGACCGAACTGTAGATTTTATCCTGATGCCGGATAATTGCTTCCAGTTTTGTAAACTAACTCTGTGGAGTTGCTGGCTTATACGTCCTCCCTGCTATGAATTTTGAACTTCTCTTACGCGCAGAGAAGGCAGACAAGTCCCACTGCTTCACTTTTTTCCCCCCTCAGCAGTTAATCTAAAGCATGTTGCTGTCTCTGAATGTAGGTCAAACCCCTCTGGAGAAGTTGTGCAGGGATTATAGGCCTGTAGAAAGATAATGTACAACTTGTAGCAGCTTGTCGATATGCAGATGCTGCTGCTCTCTACAGAGGTCCAAGTCAAGAACAGTAAGCTTGTGTAGTCTGTGGATGTATCTGCTCTGTGGCTTATCTAAATGAGCTAGAAGGCAAACAAGAGACGTTTGCTTTAATACCAGTTAAATCTGTTAATTAATCCGCTTTATATTTCTAGGAATATTGATACATGAATTTATAAGACACACCAACTATGCTCACACTAATCTGCTGTGAGCCATATATGTCTGTCGATGTATTATTTTTCAGAAGAAACGTGCAAGAACTTTCCTACATATTACCTATTAATGTAAATATGCTTTCATATTAAACACATCTGTGTAAGATCATCTTATCACATAGTGACAAATTTAATTACGAAAGCAAACATTAATTAAACAGAAAACAAATGAAGACGTTTTACAGCAGGCAAATTGTCATAATAAAATGATTTGTACATTAAACTGCCCTCTAAGTTGTTATTTTATGTCTAAACATGAATATTCTGCAGCAATATAAAGATGTAAAAACTATTTTTTAGGATTTGTCTACTAACTATTATCAAAGTTATTTGATGTGCATTTCTAAAAGGAGCACGTTCATTGTTATTTTTAAATTCAACCCAGTTCTTCCGTGGTCCGGTTTAGTCAGGGCAGGTATTTGGGGCAGACGGAGTTGTCACCATCGTGCGACCTCATTGTTCCACTTCACCATCATCAGTCATTTCATTCTTATGTCATCACACATCATTAAAAGGTCTCCTGACTCCATTTATTGCTATCGTCCACCGCTAAGAGTCTGTTACACAAAACGGCAAGGTTAGCATTTCCCACCTCTTTATATTCAAACTTTTTTTCAGTAAGAAATTGATCTTGTGCTTTCTAAAACATGTGGATTATAAACAGATAATAGCACAATGATTTGTATGTAGAATACCTCCTCAGATTTATTTTCTGCCTTTGTATTTGTTCTTGTGTTTTAGCTCGCTCCCGTGAGACAGAGCTGTAGGCTTGGACTGGGTTGGCAGAATTTAATTAAACATATGAGTTAATTAGACTGGGTGGGATGTAGAATTGGGTTTATATTCTGGAGGGGGGGAAAGATGGGGGGTACCAGTCCTTCACCTCCCATCTCTTCTCCATCCTCTTGATCAGGAAGTGGGTTGGGGTGGGTTGGTTGGTGGGGTTTGGGGTGGATGTGACTGCTGCTTGTGTGTGACTGTGGTACAGAAAAGCCTGTGTCTATTTTAGGGCTTTACTGTAAAGCTTTCACCCCTGCGTGATTGGGTGGGAGACCCCCGCCATCTGAGCCCCCCATATCTGCAGGCTACTAGCTGCAGCGGGGAGGAGCTGGAGGAGCTTTGCCCCTCCCTCGTGAGTACACGCCATAGACGCTACTTCATTCTACTTCCCTCTTTTTTCTTCTTCCTCTTTTTGTTCTTCTCTTCTTCTCTTCAACAGACCTCTATAATCCTTTTCTACTATACGCAGTTGCCTTAACATAGGTCTCTGTTGCATTGATACACTAGATGTGACTGCGGTCTCTGTATAGACTCGTCCTGGTGGTAGCAGTTTTCTGCAAATGGCCATGTTTCCCTTCTTTTTCGGACGTCATTGTATCACAGACTTCTAAAGAGACTTTGTGTCATTTCTTAATAATACAAAGTGCTCATAAATTACCATTATACCCTATACAACAACCTATGCTTTACTCTCTTGTCAAGTATTTCTACTAAACAAAAACAAAATGGAAAAGCATCACATGTAAATTACTTTAACAAGCACACACTCCATTGTATACATTTTTCATGCATTTTCAAGATCTAATTATTGGCAGATGCTCCTTTTATGAGCTTGCTGTGCTAATTTTACGTGTGGCTGTGGAGCTGGACGGACAATGAAACAGGGTTTCTAACCACCATTATGATCAGGAAGGGCAGCACTAAGTACGTGTCAGGGTTTCCACTGTAGTGAATAATTGAAGAATCTCCTTCAGACACCATTTTGTTTTTCTGTGCTGAAGTAGTTGTGCTAACTGTGCTAGTAAAAGACCCACAGCTTGTTTTTTTTGTTGTGTTATCTAACCAGTTAACCACTGGTTCATTAAATCCTATAGAATAAACATGAAGACTAATAAGTCATCATGCATATTGCATAGTCTAACAATAGCTGGAAATTTAAAGCAATCTAAGACTCATTGTGTTCTCACTTGAATTTGTGCAATGACAGATTTGTTTGTAAGAGATCTATGATTATGTGAATGCATTTTATATGGGGGCATTATTGTAGCAAAACTATTTGTCCATGCGTATGTCTGTCTGTATCTCAATCGGTTCGTCCAAAGTGAGATTTGTCAATGTGGAAAAGAAGTTGTCAATGCGAACAGGAATCGACAGAAGTCGTCCCACGATGTGTCTGTCTGTAATCAGGTTTTCAAATGCGTAAGAAATCTGCTCATCTGTATTAAAATTCGGACATGTAAGAAGAGTTGTCAATGCATACAGAGGTATACGTAGTTGAAAAGTCTACGTATTCGAGTGGAGCGGCTTCCCCATTGGCTGTCTTTTCACACATGACTTTTGCTACACTTCTACTGTGAGAGATGTGAAACTGAAAAGTATCTGAAAATCAGGGTTTCTGTGTCCTGAGCTTACAGGATTGTTCATTGTGTCTGCTGCCGCTCTGCTGCCCTGCCTTTTCATATACCTCTGTTCGCATTGACAACTCTCATTACATGTCCAAATTTTAATACAAATGAGCAGATTTCTTACACATTTGAAAACCTGATTACAGACAGACACATCGTGGGACGACTTTTGTAGATTCCTGTTCGCATTGACAACTTCTTTTACACATTGACCAATCTCACTTTGGACGAACAGATGGAGATACAGACAGACAGCTCTCCGTACAAATAGTTTTGCTACAATAATGCCCCCATAATTTTAAAGCTCATTTCACTGTAATGATATTTTGAGAAGCAGACTTCTCTTTTTGATAAACCTTTGTCGTAATTGCTATTTATACTCATTAGAACCACAATAGCTCTCATTAGCACTTATAAGAAATGAAGCAAACTGTAGTATAACAATCAGCCACACTCAAAGGCCTAAATGAATTTGCTGCTTGGCCTCATTTCCCAGTGTTTGCACTTAGATATTTCTCAAGATGCTAAATCAAAAAAAGACAAAGCACTCATAGCTTAAAGCTGCTGCCCTCATGCTCTGTTGTTAGTCACGATACTTTACTTCAGGAGGACAGCTGTTTGGTTTACATGCATCCGAGTAGCATTTCACACGAAGAGGATCAATATGTGACTAGCATGTGGCAGAGAAAGTTGTTTTGTCTGTAACTCAATAAATGACTGTTGATGTTTAGATTTCATTCATATATACTGAAACAATCGATATCACTTTCTATAACAGTTGGAATCAGATGGCCTATAGTAAATACTTGAGCCAGTTGATCCTGTTACGTGAAGTGCTTTCTCACTGTCCTTGCACAGTATAGAATATTTAGTGTAGTTGATTTGACTGTGTTCTTCCAAGTGTTTATACGTCTGTCTAAACCTCTGACCTCTTCTGAAATTCCCAGGGTTCACCGCCATCACAGCCACCAATCCCATCTGGCTGATAAAGACTCGTCTGCAGCTGGAGGCCAGGTGAGGAACTATTTCTATCAAGTCTAGAAACAAGTATTGTATGGCTGTCTTGTTCTCCTGCAACAAAAATGACATTTGAAATTATATTGCTGCTAAAATGAAAATTCTCTTTTCATCACAGAAACCGGGGCGAGCGGCGTATGAATGCGTTTGAGTGCGTGCGGCGGGTGTACCAGATGGACGGCCTACGAGGTTTCTACAGAGGAATGTCAGCCTCATATGCTGGCATCTCTGAGACTGTAATCCATTTTGTCATCTATGAAAGTATCAAACGTAAACTGTTGGAGTCCAGGGCCCACACCAGCATGGACGAAGAGGAAGAGAGCGTCAAGGACGCCTCAGACTTTGTGGGCATGATGCTAGCAGCAGCCACCTCCAAGACTTGTGCCACCTCCATCGCCTATCCTCATGGTAACCTTCTGTCTCACTCACCTTCAGTTATGTTGGTCAAAAGGCAGGGCACAAAACGTGTACTTTATTAGCTGTCAACAAATCCTATAAAGAATAAAAAACCATCAATAGGTCACTTCTAATCTCCCACTATTATGTTGTTTAGCCAGCCCATATTGTTGAACATAACAAGAAGTAATGAAGAAGTAATTTAAAAAGAACAGCTCCCACATATGCACTTTCTTATAAACAAAAAGCAGCAGCAGCAGGGACTGATTTAAAAAAAAAAAAACAAAGTTTGGTTTCAGTGCAATCTGGATCATATATACAATATGCTAGTGGTGTTACAGAAAAGCAGCTCAGCTGTGTGGCACAATGGACAAATATATATCATGGTTTATATCCTAAAACAATACTTGGACAACAGTAAGCCACATAAATTAATTGTTGGTTTTCGTCTTTCATGATATTTGTTGACAATAAACAAATTGTTTATGGCCACCTAATCCGTTACAGGTCAATATTTTGGGGGAAAAAAGGGAAATAAAAAATGATTAGATTTTATCTGAGCTTGAAAATGTTTATAGAAGGACACACACTGTATAGCCAAATATGAACAAGGTCATAAATATTGAGGAATGCTAAGTTTTAATGTTGTCTGATTGGAACTCCAACACAGATCAGGAAGCATTTTTTGTGTATGTGAGCTGAATAGACCAGAATGCATTGTAGCATCAATACATGTTGCATTTTCAAAAAGGCAAAGACTCACTATCTATTTCTGATAAATGTCATGGTCCATTTGCACTATAAATGTTGCTAATATTCTTTACCTAGTGCAGGTCCTCCTGTCTGGATTGGGATGTAGACAAAAATCAGAATCTCTAGTTGCGCCTTTAGTTTACGATAAAGCAAGTTGAAGAGCAGCAGGTTTACCAAGATGGATAACTTATAATAGCAGGTTTACTTGAGTGTGTCAAATGTTGAAATGCAGCACTCGAGAGCCCACACAGTACTCGTCATCAGAGTCTGACATAAAAAGCTGATGGTCAGTAGAGTACTTAACACAGTTTTCTTCCTCTACTCTCAAATTGCAGAGGTGATTCGCACACGGCTACGAGAGGAAGGCAGCAAGTACCGCTCCTTCTTCCAGACTCTGCTGACAGTACCCAGGGAGGAGGGATACCGGGCGCTGTACCGCGGCCTAACCACACACCTCGTCAGACAGATTCCCAACACTGCCATCATGATGTGCACCTACGAGGTGGTGGTCTACCTGCTCGGCCGTTAGCCCACCAGGAGTGTCTCCTTTCTGTTTGAAGAGGGAGACAGAAAGTGACTGAGATGGATGCCCTTTGATCAGGGTATGAAATGTGCAAATGAAGACCAAAGGAAAAGTGAAGATACTCTACTGGACCAGAACAAGACGAACGCAAAGAAGATGAAGAAAAAGGAAGGAGACAGAGCCCTTTGGTATCATATCAACATCATCCCCTCTGGTTCCCGTTGTCAGACTGCTGGAACAGGTAGAGGGCGCCACAGTTCACAGTGGAGGCAAAATGGCTCAGAGCAGAGAGGAGGCACTGACAGGAAAGGTACAGTAACAGCTTGGTGCTGGTTAAAGCACTGAAGGATAAGATTTTGAGCAGAATTCAGTGGCCTTAACAGAAAGGATTTAATTTGCATCTTTCTTTTTGGGTGATTACAAAAACAAAATGGCCTTTTTTTTCACCCTTACATAGACGTAGGAGGAGAATGCTTGGAGGCAACTGAACTTGACAGGACGGATGAGAACTAAATGTAGGTCAGCTTCAATAATTAAATAAATAATTGTCTGTACAAGCCTGCACTTGCTTCAGAGCTGTGGGAATACTGTGCGGCCACATGACACACAGTAAAGGAATGTTTACTGAAGGTAGAATGTCAGAAGAGAGTTGGATTTCAGACAGATATGTCGGTCACCCATCCACTGTTGCACTACAGAAGGCGTGGCTTCAAGCATTCTCCTCTGAACACTGCACCCCCCGGGATGACCTGAAGCTCATCAACAGCAGTGCACTCAATGGCCAAATACGATGAAACACAATGACGAGCTTGTGACGGTCACTTAAGCACATGCCTCAGACACTACCCAGTGTTTAGGTTAGTACGCTGACTACCATTCAGTGTTTTATTCCTCTATAACTCAGCTCCTGGTGGTGGCACGGGTCGGCTGAAGTTCCCTGTCGACAGTGTTTTTGTTAAAACTGAAATAAGAAGGCTAGCTTCTGCCTCCAGCCGCTGCTCGGTCGCCTGAAAATCTTGTGTGAAAACATGAGACCAATGTGTCCTTTTTGGAGATGTGATGTGTGCGACTGTCCCAAAGGTACTGAGTATCTTCTATTGGAGCGTTGCTACTTGAATATAATGTGACAATTTGGGGAAATGCTGGAGTGGGAGAATATTGATGCAGTTTTATCACCCCATAGCCTGTTTGAGTGTGAACCTGTCTGTGTGTGTGTGTGTGTGTGTGTTTAACAAGTTGTACGATCTGTGTTTGGGAGTGTGAGTGTGTGTGTATGGCGGTGCATCTGTAGTCATGTGTGTCTGCATGTATAATGAATATCTACTCCAGAGTTCCCTTCACCATCTATTAATCTTGCAAGACACTGCGGTTTGAAGTGTGGAAAGGTTCCTGAATGATACTGGGAGCTTTAATTCCCACTTCCACGCCAGTCCTTCCTTCCAGTGGCTTCCGACTGACCTGATAACATGCACTTTTGTGGCCTTTTGGGGCTTGTGCTTTGCATTTTATTGTGTGGACAGTTTAAACTTGTACATTGTAAAAGAAAAAAAGTATTAACTGTATATCAAAATGGTATTTTGCGCAACTGTTCTTATAGCAGATATATTGTACAGTTTAGAGTTCTCAGTAGTTGTGAAGGATGTCCAAATGTTTGTATATAATATCGATACTGTGTATGCATATCAGTTGCTTTTTTTCCCTTTAGGCTCATTTTGTGATCATGCTGTAGTTTGCATTTGCAAATGTTTGTTTTCATTTTTGTGCAATTGAACCTGGTTTCGACACAGACATGAATATTGATGTTGCTTGACTGAATTTTCTTGCGTTTATGTGTTGTTGTAAGTTGTTCTGCAAACATTATGTACTTACATGAAACCTAGCAAATGCTGCAGAGCAAATACATCAATGTGAGCGTTTGCGCTGGAGCATTGGTTAGTCGTTTTACCAGGTTCCTAAAAAAAAAAAACAAAAAAAAAAAAACAAGTGTTCCAGTTTGCAAAGCTTGGATGTTTCCATCATTTGAGATGTTTACATTCTTCTTTACTTTCTGTCAGATTCTTTTTGGTTCTGTTCGCACACTAGTTTTCAATATTTAAACAGAGGAGTTTTATATGTGAGAGTTCAAGAACTGATATCATCTTTCTCTGACACTGTACAGAGCAGCACTGCTACTTTGGGCGGTTAACAAAAAAAGTTTTAAAAGAATGTGAAATCCAGAAACTGCTACATCTGTTACTCAAGAGGCTAATTGTTAAGAGACCACATTTGCACCCCTTTAAATAAAAAAATCACTTAATTGCACTCTTAAAAAAAAACAAAAACGTCTTTTGAGAAAGATTTGGCACACAGTTTTTTTTTCATTGAAATTTCACTTGAATACTTTTACATTGTTCACTATCAAAATGACATGTAAACCTTTTGTTGAGGCCGCCCACCACAGACGCTGTCATTTCGATGCACACGCACAGTTTCAATGGTTAAAAAATTCAAGAAAGTGTTATTTTCCAAAAGTTACAGAAAATCAAATGCATTCATGCACGATCTTGTTCTTGAACGCTCACATTGTCCTCTGTGTTGCAGTATCATTTCTGAGGCAAACTGAAGTGTTGTAACTCGTAATAGTTATTGATTTTCAGTCTCCTTTGACATATTGCTAAAGAAAATGCTGACCCATTTTAACATTCATGTTTTCCAGTAAAACACTAACAGCTTCAGCTTCTTTAGCTCTGTTGCAGTAATACTTGAGGGGAAATTACCAAAATGTGACATGAACAGACAACTGGACAAACAGTGCAGACATTTCACTTTATTATTGTTATTATTTTTTTACCTCTCATTTCAGTGTCTGTATGCAATTCAGTGTCTTTGCCCCTGTTTGCTTGGACAGGATGCAGCCTCATGCAGGGTTCAGCGAGACCCAGAAGATTGTTTTTGTTTTGCCAGCACAGTCTTTAATGTGTTTTTGTTTGTTTTTTTAAACAAAAAATAAATAAAAATCTATTTGCAACTGATCTGTCTGCTTTTTAAAAAATGTATGTATTTGTATTTTATGTGTATTTGTTCATATATACTGTTGTAGAAATATTTGCAGTTTGAGCTCCTTAACTTAAAAAATGGTGTAATATAATTGATGATAGGAAAATTACCTTTAATTGATTGGTGCAGTTGGTTAGCACTGTTTCCTCGCAGCAAGATGGTCGCCGGTTCATGTCTTTCTTTCGATCTTTCTGCATGGAGTTTACATGTTCTCCCCATGAAGGGTGGGTTCTCTCCAGGTTCTCTGGCTTCCTCCCACAGTCCAAAAACATGTTGAGGTTAATTGGTGATTCTAAATTGTCTGTAGGTGTGAATGTGAGTGTGCTTGGTTGTCTGTCTCTAAGTGTAGTCCTGCGATAGACTGGTGACCTGTCCAGGGTGTCCCCTGCCTTCACCCTCAGCTGGGATAGACTCCAGCCCCCCCACAACCCTAGTGAGGATTAAGTGGTGTATAGATAATGGATGGATGGATGAATTAAATACTGCAAAGTGCATAGTTACTTTTAGTTCATAAAATAAACTCATTTTGAATGAAGAGTCACAGAAACTTTTCCTAGATAATGTGATTAATCAGTAAGAAATATTTAATACCAAACATGCACAGTACACATTGAAATAAAAAGTAAAATAGTAGTGGTGAAATAAAAGGCAGAAAAAAACACACTATACACATGAACAATAGAGGGAGTGCAGTATAGGTACCAGTTTCAAAGCTAGCAATTGAAAGTAATGAGAAAAGGTTTTCTTGTTTCCTTAAAACTGAATGAATACCAATTTGTCCCCCCTCAATATAGAGTAGAAAATATGTTCTTCTGTTATGAACCCTGTCCATGGATTTATTTCCCATTCATTCTCCATTTACTTTCCATTTGTTAAAGAAAACTTAAGTTGTTGGTTTGGCAAAAACATGAATACATTTACTGATGACTGCTTGTTGTGTGTCAGTTTCTTTCCTTTAACTTTAATAAATACCTGCAGCTTCACACAGCAGCAGTAACCATCAGCACATTTTTATTTTTTTTTTAAAATTGGAACTGACATGCGTATTTACGCACATGGCACGGCAACAGTAACATCATTAGCACAGAACCTGACGGTAGATTATGTTCTGTGTTCCTCTGAACACCCGAGGGGCCAGGTTCACACGGTGCAGTTATTCACATTAAAGGTTCTCTACATGAATCCTGAGCTCCATCCGATCGGTCAGGACATTTTATTAACATAAACCTGTCATTACGCACGAAATTATACATTTTTACATTGTTATGAGACTTTTAACAGCGTAAATAAACCTAGGTTCTCCCCCAATTTCTGACCAAAGATCACATTTCTTAAGTGTTATTGTGTCAAATGTTTAAGAAACTCCAGTTACAGAATTACTGTCGAATCAGGAAGACATCAAATCCCATAAACTGTATTTATCCACCAGTACCGGCAGGAGGAGCCACATTACACCGAATAGAACCGACCTGTGCTGGTCAGTTTATTAAATTACTTTATTCAGGCACATTTTCGTGCCATAATTACTTTTTAATTTCAATCAATTCAAAAGCAGGTGTCACAAATCACAAACAGGGTTCTTTTCTTCGGTCACACAGTCCCTCCCTATCCTCATGATAACTGCTCTGCTCACTTAGGCTGAATAATTCAAGAAGCATCGATTTCTGTTTAGTTCGGTAATGCATGTATAGAACCTGCAGCCGAACTAATCTATAAATGTGGGTAGATGGTTATTTGAAGAAAAAAAAAAAAAGAAAGAAAAAAAATCCATCATCACACGCGTTGTAGCTGGAAGCAGTGACTCATATATATATATATGGATGGATGATGGATTATATATATATATATATATATATATATATATATAATATAAAACCACAGGACATGAGTTGGTATTGACTGTGTTGTGCGGCTGTTCAGCTCAAACAGCGCACATGGCGCTTATTAGCTGCAACTCGATGCAAATCAATCAGCTCTCACTTTCTCTCTGACTTTGCACAACAGAGTCTGAATTCCAGATACTACAGAGGACCAGCTCACTCATTCTTGCGGTTAAACATCTCAATTGACATCCACTTAACAGCCCTCTGATTTGTCTAGTGGGTTAATAAAGATTCAGATGGAAACCACAATCTGAGATGAGCACAAGAACAAAAATAAAGCGTGGCGATAAGGATGCGTTCAAGTGCTGTCAGAATTCCTACAGATAATATACTGTGGCCGTGGAAAGGTAAACAAAGGAAGGCAAAAACGAAAGCCTAATCTATTTGTTGAAAGTAAATTAAGGGAAAGTGTCGTTCTGAGATTTTAAATCTTCCGGACACGTGCTCTTGACAATATACCAGCAGGACATACATCCGGAAACATATGACTGGAAAAGAAAATGAGCGTGCGCCCAGAGCTGAACATTTGCAATGCAAATTTTGTACACTAAAATAAAATATAAAGGCAGCATCTGTATAGTGTTCTTTTCTGAAAAGGTTACACATCTAATTTCTTTCCAATTGTGCACAAATGTTTTTGGAGTTTAATTGACCATGATAAGATTGATGACTGGTGATTATAAAAGGCGACATTAAAATGCAGTTTTAATCAAATGACAAGATGCCACAGATGAGAAGAGGAAGACAAGAACGAACTGTTGTCATGCTGGATGCTGAAATGTCAGTCAGGGCTGTAGACAGGCCCTTGAATGTCCACAACTCCATTTTATACTGTCAATGAAATAATTTCAGACAGCTTTGGATGGACATGTCCAAAAATGTAATCTTGCCCGAAAAAAGTGTCTACGAACTTTCTCTATTCGTCTATGTCATTACCTGCTGTGTGTATATTTTTGTTCAGTATAATGTGCCAGACACTGAAACGTGCTGAAGTGACGGTAGGCGTACACTGACTGAAAGAAGTTGAAATGGTTGTTAAAACAGAAAAAGGACACTGAAGTTTCAGTGCAGGCAACATATAAAGTTGGAGTGTCAGTTACATGCTGAGTTACCTACAGCGACTCCTCAGAGTTGACTTAAGTTGGAGGCGTAAGTGATACCTGGAGCTGTGTCAGTGTCAGCTGTGGGGACAGCAAAGGAACTGTTAGGGGATTTAAAAAAAACAAAAAACAATCAAGTATCAACAAATTCAATGTAAAATGGGGAATTTTAAGAAAAAGCAGTCAACATGCCATCATGGGAAATCTGAAAACAGATATGTAGTGGATGTACTGGTGGAAAGTAACTTAGCAACATTGCATTATTTGCAGCAACATGTATCTTTTTCCATGTTTATTTATTGCCATGACATGCAAATCTGCTGTTGTTGTTGCTGCTGCAGGTGGAGCTAAACGACTTTATACACAGTTGTATATACAGAGACAGAAGATAAATCAAAGGGGTCATCAGATGACTAACGGTAGAGGATGGACAACAACAACAACAGAGCATTGATTCACTAATCTGTTTTCCGCTTTTGGATTTTTTCTGTAATCTTTGAGTATTGGTGAGATAACCTTGGATCATTTGAACAATTGTTGAAATGAAATAATGTGCTTAGTTTAGAATGGGGAAAAAAATCTGCATTTGGAGCTGTTAACAAATCCCATCTGAACTTTGAACCCGACTAGGTTGGTGTTTTTCACATCACTGTAGACCCTTGACCTTAATAGTTAAACTTGTACATTTGCAACAGCAATTTTATTTCTTCACTGGAAAGAACTTTGGCTTTGGTTGATTTAAATGTGCTATATAAATAAATATGACTTGACTTTTTGTAAGACATTATAAAGCAGTTGGTTGGAAAACACTGACTCAATCTTTAAAAGTGTGTTGTATTTAAAAATGTTCAAAATATGTATTTTTTTTAAGCAACCACAGCTGTCAGCTACATGTGGTGGAATAGAAAACACAATATTTCCTCTGAAATGTAGCAGAATTAAAGAACAAAGTAGTTTCAAATAGAAATACTCAACTAAAACACACGTACTTCAAACTTCTACTTAGGCACAGTAGTTGTGTGAATGTATTTAGTTACTCTCCACCACTTAATAGTAGTAATTATATTGTTTTTCATTTATTTTTGGAATTTCACCGTGGTGGGTCAGAATGTACAACTAGTCCCTGAACGCACCATGGGAGCATTAGCCAATAGCGTGAGAGCAGAGTGCTGCGTCGCGGTGGAAGCGGCCAATCAGCGCTCGGCTCGCGGAGTAAACGGACACTGGGCTCCGCTGGCTGCTGGATGTGCTGAGCTGCTGTTTACCGCAACAAAGAAAGCGTCGCTCACATCGGCTGAAAAACATTTCTAACAGCGCCGGAGGAGCGTCGCTGTGAGCGGCGGAGAAGAGCAGAGAGTCCTCGGTTCTTCTTCTTCCTCCGCAGAGAAATCCTCCGAGAAAAAGTGTCGGCGGGAGACGAGTTGTGTTCGGTGAGTGTCGGTGTGTTCACGGCGGCTGATGAGCGCTCAGGACTCGAGAGCTTCACTGCAGGCAGATAGAGAGATAAAGCTGTGTTTCCCTTCTAAAAGTATCTTCTGGTCACTTTGGAGCGTTGCTTGATGGAGTGGATTTCAATTTCAAGCCGAGAAAAAAAGACTTTGAAGGGTTTCTCTTGGTTTGATAAAGTTTTCACAGCTTCAGAGTCAAACAGGTACATGAACGTTACCTGGTTGCATCTCTGTGATCCTGCTGATGCCACCTCATCTGTCAACTCACATCACAGAGTAAAGGGATGCAAACACTGGCTGGATCTCTGTAGGAGCTCATTTATTAAGAGTGAGCAATTTCTAAACTTATTATTGCCTCAAGATATTAATGATCTGCATTGAAAATCAGACAGAAAGTGTGCTAAAATATATATTCTTAGTTCGTGTAAATGCATTTTGCTAAAGTAAAAGCGCCTTTCCCTTGTTGCACTCCACACCTTGACATTTACTGAGCTGAGATGGGTTAGGTGACAAGGACATGGAAGATGGAGAGGAGACGGAGTGTGAAAGGAGAGAAGCTGGGAAGGTGAAAAAGATGTTCCTGCTGCAGTGTTTCTTCATTAACATGTAATAGGCAACAAGGAAAAAAAAAAAAAAAAAAAGGTGTGTGGAGTGGTGGTGGTTGGAGTCTGCTTCCTGATGGATGACCTGTCAGAATGTGGGAGAGAGGGGGGTGAAGTGTAGGGGGGGAGATGGGAGGATAGAGAGATGCGGGAGGAGGGAGGAGGAAGGGATGGAGCGTGGTGATGGTGACAGGGGGTCATTTATCTGTCTGCTGGATCGGACCAGCCAGTCGCTACGGGAGATCAGGCTGTTCACCGGCATCTCTTTTGTTCCTGAGCCCCCCACTTCACCGCTTCCCACCTCTTCTTCTTCTTCGTCCTGGTCCAACTTTCCTCTTAGTCTCTATTCATTTCTAGCCACAACATTTTTTTTTGTCTCCCGTCTCTCCTTTAGGACTTCTTGAACTCACTTCATCTATTTGCAGGGCACACGCTTCAGCTGCTTTCAGTCTAAACACGTCATCTGACACTTTTTAATGCGTCACCTGACAGCGGAGATGCTCTTTGGCTCTGCAACACAAAGACACTTCACCTCTTTACACTTGAGCTATATCTGGTGCTTTAACGGTTTTCAACCTCGACTTATCAACTGACACATCGGCTTATTTTTACTATTTTGGCCGAGGTTTTAAATGCTCCAGCCGACATTTCAGTCGCTCCTCACATGTCAAGAGACGCTTCAAGTGCTTACAGAGTGTGGTGCTTTAACTATTGTTTTTTATCACGCACACCTAAACTAACATTTCATCTGCATTCATCTCTTACGCATTCACAGATGTGATGCTGCAAATGTTTGTTCAACGACTTTCGGCGCATACATGAAAGCAGACAGTTCAGCTGCCAAAGACTGCTTTGAACAAATACACTTCAAATAAATCCAGCTGCTTTCAGGACGCAGCTCTTACATTTCAAATGATGCTTGAAGGATTTAACAGTTTACACAAGAGCCCGACCATTACTGGCTGATATCGCATCCTATAGGACCACTGGTAGGTGTGCTTGCAGTGTGGACGGACCAGGTGGTTACTACTTTGATGGATGAGGAAATGTACGTCACATGTACCCTGTGCCAATATTTCAATATAAGCTACAGACTCCTGATATAGGCTGCAAGGACAAATGTTACACATACCACTAGGAATGATGTTCTAGGCGATCACAGCTTGATTTGACGCTGGCTGGAGGTCATTAAATGTCAAAGAAGAATTTTTCATGGTGCCTCTTTGCAATCTAAGCCCCTACAATGCTCTTTGCTTGTCAACACTGACCTGCCTGCCTCCTCTGGTCCTTCAGTGTTAACCCTTTATAGAGCACTCATTGAAATACGTGGAAATGTAAAACTTCAGCCCTGGAGTGTTATTGGTGGATATAAGTGGACACAACAAAAGTTTCAGATTTAGGCTGCAAATCCAAATCAACACAGCTACCATATACGAATCCTTGCCCACCGAGGGTAAAGAAAAGTTCCAAATAATATGTGAAATTAATAAATTATTGTAGAAAAGAATACACATATAAAGATGAAGGAACGTTTCTTTCCAGTCCACCAGTCAGACTTATGGAATTGATGACACTTGTGTCAAAATATTTGGCTCACTTGTGATTGGTCAGAGTGACTGTGTTGTGATGTAGCCTGACCTTTGCTGATTGGCTGGATGAAGTCTCGTGATTCTGCCCCCTGCCATTTTTAATCCCTGCGGAAGTTACCATATAGTTGCCCAAAAAAGGGTTATCCAGTAAGAGGCTCCACCTGGTGGCACAACCAGGTACTACAGATAGTCTACAACGCTTTAAGTGTGTATCAGCTATTGGTAGATATTCACTAGCAGATGTTCAGGGAGAACTTTTGGGTGCAATTTAATCTAAATTTTGAACCTCGAAGATGCACCGAATATTATCATGCAAATATTTGAACATGAGCAGCAATGGAGCACAATATTGGAAAACTGCTCAGTCTGTTTATTTGTGAAAGTGCAATGAAAATATTGTGTCACAATGAACAACTGTGCTGTCAGTGTTGGTCTATAGCAATCGTGATTAAGATTTTGGCCATAACTGTGCAACCCTAGTTAGAGTTATACTGAAAAAGAAAAATGATCAGCTCATTGTTAACCTTTAAGCCATGTATTGCACAAACTAGTTTGAAAGTTACTGTGATGATGCCGCCTGACTCTGCACTGTACTCTGCTACATGTGCTGCAGACAGTGCTAGAAGTTTTATAAACGATGGAGTCAGAGCTGCTATGTGATGACATCGTTTTAAAACACCCCAAAAATTTTTCTGTGTCATGTTCTATTTAGAAAATAAACTTCTATTATTAGCACATATTGGACAAATAATACAGTGACTGGCGTTATCAGCTCATACAATCAACTGAGTCTTTTTTACACCTGCAGTTTTCAGCACACACGAGGACACTTACACAGAAAACATAGCCTGTTCCCATCTTGTTCTGTATCCTCCACATTTTTCTCTCTCCTCTTTTGCCCATTCAGCTCTCTCCCTCCTAATCTGTTTTTCTCTCTGTCTTTATTTCCTGCTTTTCCCCTCCCTTTTTAAAAAAAATCTCCCCTTTATCCATCCAGGGGGACTAATAAGCTGCGTTATGAGTCAGTGTGAGGAGAGAGGCAGATGGGATTCAGCTCGTAGGCCAGATAAGGATTTTAAACTCGGCTGTGTCTTATCACACCCTGTCATTGCTTTTTAAACTGAACACATACTGCCTGGTGTTATGTGTGGAGTGGTAAAAAAAATCCCCTCCGATTGCGATAGTGGAAGTTCTGTCTGAATCATGTTGGAGTAATCCCTGTAACTAAGGGTGCCAATGATGTCAGGGCTAATTTAAATGCAGACTTTTCTGGGCAAATCACAAAAGCAGCGCCAGCCCAGGAGTTGACTCAGTGTTATTGCACATCAATAAATCAACATCAACAAGGATTGTTGAAGAATTTCAGGTCTGTTTTTTTTTGCCAGTTGCTGGACATATTGCTCATCTGCATGCTGGTCAGCGCCCAGTATGTCACCGTGCTCATCGTTCACACGAGGCGATCTGGTGACGAGACAGGCAACATTTTGTAGTCGGTATGAGCTGCTTTCCATCAGCCATCATTATTTTTAATTACTTTATTTCTCCGCCTTTCCCACTGTGTTTGTTGTGTACCAACGGGAAGCAGGCTCTTACAGGAAACAGACTCAAAGACGTGAACCTGTGAAGTCTCAAATTAGACTCCATCAAGGCAAAAAATAGATCACAGTACAGAAGACAGGGAGTGGTGTTTCTAATGCTGACAGTCATGTTTTGGCAAGCATGAGCAAAGTGTAAAATTGGTGCTTTGAAATTATTTTTACCTGGATTTCTATGTGCAGTGCAAAAATTTAGACACCCCTGAGCAATTAACCATTTAAAAAACAATTTCAAGTAAGATATAAACCCAGCTACTGCAGCAAATATAATGAAAAAAAAAATCTATATTTCAGTAGTGCCGAACAAACCACACACAAAGAAATCATATTGAAGTTATTTTCAAAGATATTACCACCGATTTTAGCGTACAATAGCATCTTTTCATTTCTTTCCTACTGAATAAAAAAATGGAAATGACGATGTGATTTTTGCCGCAGGCTGTACCACAGAAGCACCTTTCCCCTATATTTGGAGAACATAATTTATAGGCTGGGCTGGGGTATCTCTGTAGCATCACAGTGCTTCATTTGTAATTGTATTTTGTGTTTACCTTTATCAAAAAATTGCAGCTGTTATGATTTGTGTGTTGCACTTGGCCATATTGCATTTTCAGTAATATTTAAATTAATTGTTCAGCTGTACTTTGAAGTATGCAACAGTTAGGGTTGTCATGACAGTTAATTGTCTTACAAGTAGTTAATTAACAGTGTAATAATTTTATGCCTCCTATTAGTTTTGGATTAGAGGTCTTGGCCTCCTTCAAGTTCTTCTGGTGTACTTCTTTATTTGGCTTAAAACCAAATTGTGCGACTAAATCCATGACAGTATGAACAGATGATCATCAAAATGCGGTGGTTAAATATAAAAGCTGAGCACATCAAGATAACCAGTTAAAGCACAATAGAAGGAGGCGCAAAAGATGAAAAATGATTTTGAAATAGTGATTAAAATATAGCAGTTCCATCCAGCTGTTTTTATACAAGTGAATGGCAGCCATTGTAACCATTATGCAGAATAATTGCAGTCGCTCAGTAACTGCTGTCAGCCGATTATGTAGCAGTTGTGACAGGCTGATTAACAGACTCTGGAAGACAGGCTCGTTTTTAATGTTTGTTTGCTGCAGGGGTTTCTGATAAGTTCCTATCTTATTTGTGGCCGGCAACATGATGTCAGAGTTCAGTCTGAAAAATGAAGC